GGCGACTGGTAGATGGTACCGCCATCGCGAGTGCGCGAGCTCCTATCAGGAATTCGTTGCGCCGCCCTTGGGGGCAAAAAACAGTGAAAGCTAACGTACGAAACCAGAGGGCAGCACAGGATGCGATCGCACGATCCTGCCCGTGAGCAATCTCCCAACTCATCTCTGACCCTGCCAGTGAGCAATCTCCCAACTCATCTCTGGTTCAAAAAGTAGAATCAGTCATTTGAAAATGGAAACAGAAAGTGAGTTATCCGATGATGAAGAAGAAATATTGGTGTATGTTGAATTTGAGAGTTATGTTGAAAATTCAACATTCAGTAACAAAACGCTACAATTAGACATGATAGGGTTAGACACGGAACACCCTATAATGCAAGTTGATGGAAAGGTACGTCTTGTATTTGTATAACCCATGAAATAGATTACTTTTCTTAATTATTACACGGTCTCTCTGATTCAACGTTTTTAATACCAAATTCAATATTTCAGTTTTATGAAGGAACGTATGAAGATGCTATAGGAACATACATGTTTTTTAGAAATGATGATAATCCAATTTTAGACGACCCTGTGTTCGATGCAAAACCAACCTTAAAGTATTTCGTCCAAACAAGAAAAATCTTGAAAATGCAAAGGGTTTTTGTTACTCCTAGAACAGAACTTCTGGGAGATTCTAACGATACAAGATCGGTTCCGAACATGGATGTCATTAAAAAAGCAGGTGTCCCACCTAAATATCAAGAAGGAGGTATGAATTTGTCATACAAATTAATTGTTTAATGAAATTATTATGAAATATTTTGGTACAACTATTTACTATGTTTTAATAGTAATTGAATCAATTTTTATTTGTTACCAAGCAGTTAGTTTTATCCTAACCTCTTTACTTGTCTACATTTTATAGCCCTCGAGTTTTGGAAAAAAATGTATGTCGATAGAATACAAGCTTTATCCACATATCTGGCAAAACAGAAGATTCGAGAAGAAAAAAGATGCCAGGGTATTGATGTGGCTTCAGATTCCGATGATGATAATTTATTTTTTACTCATAAATCTAAAGGTTGTGCTTTGGGAAATAAGAAAAAAACTGTTACAGATGACGAAAATACGAGTTCAGACTGTGATAGAATATCTAATTCTCAGGGTAAAAACATTACAAAAGGATCCAAGTGTATAAGAGAAACAATACAAACCAAAAAAACAGGAAAAGAACTTAACAAAAAATTGACTGCAATAGATCCAGGACCGTCAACATCAAAAAATAGCTTTCCTTGGATAACTCCTCCTAGAGAAGACAATGAATATGAGCACAATTTATTAAAACCTAGAAGAAAATTTGCTTCCAGATCGGGTCAAAAAACATATAGATCACATGGAAAATCTGGAAAATTAAGTGAGATGACTATTAATATTCACAATTTTGACCCTAATTTATCCAAAACAAGCACATACCATCTCACTTCTGTAAATACTGGTAGAGACGATGACAACTTACAGGGCAAGCAGTCAGTAAAAAATACAAATCCTAAAGATGAATTGAGCATATCAAATGGACACAAAAACAGTGATGTGAGACCATCGTCTATAACAGTGGATAATAAAGATCTTGAAATAGCTACATCACAATTAAATACAAATCATGAAAATGATATATTACACACAAATAAAAAGATCGTACCTGAGAATAGTAAAATACGGAAACAGGACAAAAAAGAAGCAAAGATGAAAGAAATTTCAAATAGATTAAAGAACATAAAGGAGGAATATGTAAAGAAAAAACAAGTCAGTTAAAAAATATAATATGATTTAATATTTTTGTAACTATGCCTAAAACAACAATTACATAACAAGGATAGTGGTGGCGTTTGTAATGAACATACTAAATGTATATCTAATGATCTTCAAGGTATACAAAAACTACTTGATAGAAGTATAGCTAACATTAAAAATAGGATGTATAAAACTGTGTTCATACTTGTAATAACAATTAAATAATTATCTTAACAATTCGCAAGCATATATTGTACATGCATTTGGTCTTAACACTTGAAACTTATTCTAAAAATGGTCTGCAATAACTTGCATTGCACCCTCATTTGTACAGTACCATGACAGTCGCAAACGAAATCCAATCGTTCAAGTTCTTAGTAAAACTGTTTTAATTTGTATTACAAGGTAAACACGTTTAGCTGAATATCGTGTGATTTTATGTACATGTACATATATTTATACGTCTATAATATTATGCAAGAAGCTCAACTTGGAAATACTGACTCAATACGACTGCATTGCAGTTAACTGAAGTAGTTCTCATATTGTTATACCTTATGCTTTGTAATCCATTAACAAATCAGTACTTAAAGCTATACAAAATATTTCTTCTCCTAAATTATAGAAATCCATTTTACACACGGTAATTTCTACTAAAAGTAAAATATACTCGTGCGTCCTTAGAATGTTTCTAAAATTATTGTAATATTTTCTAAATCGCATAGTTTTTCAGATCTGAAGTTCCTTCACCATTCTAAATCACTGGACAGTTCATCGGGATATTCACCGGTTAAGCAAGCTGTGCAATGGCCTATGTAACTGCTTTCCCGATTATCCATACCGTGTCTAACTGCTCGAACAAGCCCATCGACAGAGAGGTATGCCAAACTGTCTGCACCGACATGTTTAGCCAACTTAACACTATCCAGTTTATTCGCAATCAGTTCTTCTCTTGTAGGAATATTGATGCCCATATAACATGGATATTTAAGAGGTGGAGATGCTATCCTAATATGAACCTGTAAGTACATTATATTGTATTACACGCACACACATACATTTATATAATAAAAAACGATGTCCCCTGTTGTTTTTAATTTAAAATATGTTATTAAATGTTATAAAAATATAATAAAGATGTTACATTTAATCCTCGAGCTGTTCTAAAAAATTATTCCGCCTTAAGCATATGTTGCAATCTAAAATTTACGAGTCATTTGCAGTACATATGTACTTAAATAAAATACTCAACCCAAAATTTGTATGTCACTAACTAGAAAAGCAAACTCGAAAAGCCACATCATTTAAAAATAATAACAGATACTGTTTCAGTATCACAATTACCTATCTTGTAAATTTTAATTATATAACATTTTTGAAAAACGCTATATGTTAATATTTATGAATGACCACTTATAATAAAAAGAAGTAAAATTAAACAAGTATCTTTTACCTCCTTAGCACCAGCATCGCGAAGTAATTTGATAATTGGACCAATAGTATTTCCTCTAACAATCGAATCATCTATAAGTATCAGTTTTCTTCCCTTTACATTCTCCGATAAGGCCCCAAACTTTTTCGCTACTCCGAGCTGCCTTAACCTTGTACTTGGCTGAATAAACGTTCTTCCAACGTACCTATTTTTGCACAAAACCTCTGCAAAAGGTATTTGTGACTGAAACAAAATTAAATTCTTAAAATAATATATTAATGCCGACTTAAACGAGGCCATTGTTATCGTAACATTACTTCTATCTAGTAATGCATATTTTAAATGAATTAATATGAATGTTTAATACGCACCTGTCTGGCAAAACCATGCGCGGCAGCAGTTCCAGATTCCGGAACAGAACTGACTATATCCGCTTCGACGGGAGATTCTAAAGCCAACACTCGCCCACACTGCATTCTTACAGAATACACCATTTGTCCTGAAATGAACAAGAAAAGGTTACATACTTTGGGTTAATATATTTTTCTAACCTAAATGTGTATTTCACTGCATTTCAGTTATTTATAAATTGCTGGAATTACCTTCAAAAATACTGTCACTCCGAGCAAAATAGACATACTCGAATATGCAAAAAGCTTGTGGCTTTTTATCAGGCCTTTCTATAATATCAATTGTTTTGATTCCCTCACGAGTCATCTCCACAATTTCACCAGGAAATACTTCACGAACGTATCTAGCTCCAATGCTTAGGAATCCACAAGATTCAGATGAAATGACCCAACCTTCTGCATCATCATCGTCATCGGACTCATTACCTGCTTTATTTAAATAGTATGTTTAAAAATGTCAAATATTAATGGATACATAATCTCGCCTGAGAGCAATAATCCTATTTCATCATAAAAGAGCTATAGAGTATCGTAAATAGCATTAAAAAATATATTTTCTACTCGTATTAGAGAATGGGTCAACATATCTTACGACATTATCAACCATGCATATCAATTTTTAGATGAAGATCTATTTGGGCAAAATCGCATAACGATTAAAATGTATTAATTATGATTCATTTATTTACCGAGATTACCAACAGGTACAATTTTTCCCAGACAAAGAGGACGATTTCCATAAGGATCACGAACTCCGTAAATTTTGTCTCTTTGCATAATAACTAAAGAATAAGACAATGGCGCTAATTGCATCAAATGTTTGATACGAGCTGGCCAATCTGGTCCATTGACTTCCCCTTCCGGAGGATTCAGACATAATGCTTGTGTGATTAACTCTGAATCGGAATACGTTGAAAGTCCGACACCTCGTCCCAAAACCTAGAACAACTCTTTATTTAAAAGTAAATAGAAAAACAGTTGCATTGTTTCTGCAATATCTGAATATAATTTTAGTTCAATTTTGCAATTTTAATATTTCCTGGAACTACTTAAAACTCTCCAATATTTGCAAAATCGAAACAGTATTGCAGATCCCATTACAACGAATGAAATAAACAATGACACTATTACTACCATTTTTCTTAACGATTCCGTATTAACAAGTTCTCCATTGTGAGCTACGGCAAGTGCTCCATGAGCTGTATGGACCACAAACGGCTGACAATTTACTTCCTCGCTGGCGGCACTGGTACTGTACCTTGTATGACCTATGCCAAGATTTCCTCTCAATTTTTTCATATTCTCATCGTTGAAGATATTGTTGATCATTCCCATTCCTTTGTGTACGTGAAACGATTTGGCGCAAACTCCTTCACTCGTAACTATTCCTGCACTCTCTTGTCCTCTGTGTTGCAGGGCAACCAAGCCTACATCAATAATGTTTTATTTATTGTAATAAAAATTCAAAAACATTTGGGTTCCGCATGGTTTCATTTATTGTAATAAAAATTCAAATATATGTTGATCATATAATTGTCTTCTCTTAAATTCCACGCAAACTGTGAACATATCTGTAATTTATGTTCAATCCATAATTCTCTTCAACTTTCATTTAATTGTGTTGTTTTTTAATTCTAGAATTTCTTTTATGAGGTAATTTAATTACAATACGTACCAAGACAAATCACTTGACCAACGTCTATTTGCGAAGGCCAATCCCCTGCAGCGATGCACCCAAAAACTCCACATTCGTGTGTGAGTCCAGATACTTCTCGATTTTGTTTTCTATCATCGGGAGGTCTCCCAGTTTCGACTTTATCTAACGAGAGACGGCTCATCGAATTTGAACACAAATTTTCCTCTTTACAACACGACATTTTTGTGTTTCCTGTAATTGATAAAAATTATCATTACTAATGCACTACTAACAGGCTTGGATGAATATTTTTATGAACACTATTCAAGGCTAGGCCATTTCACGATCCGAATAATAAATATCAAATGGTTTGCGCGATTACGTTATTCGGAGGTCAAAGAACACGGGGTAAGTTTCAAAATATCGAATACGCACTGTGATACAACACTAACGAGTGAGATAATATTAGAAATAAAGTTTCGTACAGTGAGAACATCTGCGATTAAGAGATGAAACGAAACCTATTGAGTAAGCCTAAGAGGAGATCGTCAGAATACCCTGGCTTTACGTTAAAATTATTTCTGCTAAATCTGGCGAAATATGGTACTAAATTATTTTTTTCAATCCATTTTTTAATGCAATACAGATTCCCCCTGCACTCGTTAATAAACGCATTAAAGTGCCGGGATTTAATTACGTTTTGCTTATAAGTTCAAACATCCGGTATTCATTATTGATTGAAGTGAAAAATCACAGTACAACCTGAATTGTATACGATAAATAAAATCATTCCGTGAAGGAGATAAAATACTTTGCTTGAATTCGCTGACATAATAAAAGAAGGAAAACAGTCGCTTTAACAACACGATACAACGCGACCCCCCCGAGATTCTTCACAGCGATAACCCGGCTAGTTATCAACGTGCTCTTGCAAACTATTGCCCCCTATGGCGTGATAGAATTGATCTCTTATTTACTCGGCCCGTTCCGTTTTGCTTAATCAGGATTTAGCAATAAGTTTCATCATCGAATGCTATTGATATCAAACTCTCATGACAGAGACAACCATCTTATGGAACGTTAAATAAGATACCTTTAAAAACATTGAAGAAAATGTAACCAAAAACTTATGTATCTAACATGCGCTTCATTGGGAGTTCTCCGATTGTTCCGAATGAAAAATCTGCCTTAAAATTTAATATTAATATCCGTAATGGTGTAACCATTTAATTAATCTGCTGAACTTCGAAGCCACTGTAATTAGAAAATATAATTGTGAAGTTATACAACTCCATTTTCGTTTAAACAGTCTTTCTACTAAACTCAAGCGAATTAGATACAAGCTATCGAACGCGATAAGCTTGTAATATATTCAGGCGGTGTACATCGGCCTCTGAACCATAAGGATCATAACATACGAAAGATAATCCACGTGATCGAGTGCAAATCGTGTATCACCAAAGATTTTCAAATTTTATGCCAATCATAATGGTTCGACGGATTGGCATTACGTGATTGAAATTTATTTACTTTTATCTTTTGCAAATTCTCTATTCGTCGTTTTAAGATCTCGATTATCAAAAAACAATTGAGCCATAGTGATCTTATTGAATCGTAATATTTTGTCTGAGTGTATGCTTAAGAATGAATACGTAGCTAAGAAAAAGCGATAATTCAATCAAGATTATTTTATTTTCTTAGAACTTGCCTTGCAACTTGAAGAAGAGTGCTTATTACATTCAGGCAAGGTAATCGGGTTTAAGTACGAAAGCCTTTTGTTCGGCTGTGGACGCTTCTCGAATATTTTGAAGCCCCACGATATGCGATTTAAGGACCAACATTTTTATGCAGTGATGAATTTAATAATCAAAGATACCTACACTTTTACTCATCGACCTAAACTTGAAAAAGATATTCATATATTTTTTTCAATGTAAATACGAAACCCAACATACTCACGAACTTTTAACAATCGCGAATTTAATTACACGTTACGAACAAAAGCATAAAGATCAGGGAAATGCATCGCTGTAGATGTATCTTTTTCGAGTACCCAAAACAAGGAATAGGACCTCTATCCTTGTCAGATAGATATACAATATAAAGCACCGCATCACTAAAAATCCCTGTAGATAATTGCACGTAAAACCGAAAGATCTGCAGGATAAATCGTCGCTTAAAACTATCAATGCGTCAAAATTATCCTCTGGGTCCGCCATGTTGAGACGCGGACGGCATGACGTAAACTAGGAATATATTTAAGAACAGCAATTATCACAGTAATTCTCGCGGAAAACTACGCGTATCGATAGCACTATCTGACGTGTCCGTTGCCATGACCGGCACGAATCTACCCATCGATCCGTAAATCTTTCTCAATATTGGAGCACGCCGTCTTTCTGCAGAGACTGTACCCACCTTTTGAATGATACCTTACCGGCACGCGTGGTATGCGTTCCACGCTGCGTTTTCCCGACAGCGCTCTCGATCTTCCACGTTAATGACACCACGGTCTTACACCGAAGAACGGGGAATATTATTGAGCGAGATATTGGCAGGATACTTGCCACGTGGGTCGAGATTTATGTGAGCTCTCAGAGCTTCCTCCTAACAGGCGAGACTCGGCGTGCACGCTGACCCATCGAGTTCTGGAAGACGAATGAGCGCGAAGACCAATGGAAAGTCACTTTTGAATGGGGGGGTTGTGTCCTTCCTTACTCGGTATACACGGTTCCCGATCCCAATGTATCTGGTATTTTACTCTTAGCTCTTTTCGTCTACGACATCAGCTGGCGTTCAGGTTATATATCGAAATTATCTCGAGTGACGGTACCGTCGCGGCCAACGGAAACCTTCCTTTTCGGCCCTTTCGAGAATCACATTTTCGACGATCTCATTTTTACCGATACCTCGAGGATCGAAACTCTCTTAGCGTCGCACCTGTTTACGGAGTCTGATCGATCTGTCTTCGTATGGATGAGTGGTCAACGGGGTTGCGTACGCGAAATATGGCTGTACGTGATAGTAGTGACATACTTAGCTTTTTATACACGATTTGCACTTTATCCTCCCAGTTTTCTGGGTGACGGACTTCGCGTCCTCAACATGACGGTTCAAGCTTCAATTACCGAGAGGAAGTTTTTCACGTATCGATTACTCTGCCGATTGAAAACCGACATGCTCGCGCGATTATTAAATTTATATATACTTTTTTATTCACATAATCTTGTTTGAATATTTCGATTTACTCGTGGTAGTTTAAATAAATTAAAATGCTGTCGCGTTGGATAGTGCTACAGTCCGAAAATTTGTTTTTTTACAACCATTGAGCGTCGAGTGATGTGACATTATTTATCCAATTTAAATTCGGCTCTTGTGTTGTTTTATTTCCTTGCAATCTTCCGAACGATCGAACGATCGAGATTCATAACTGCAGATATACAAAAATATTTGTAAAGATTAGAAAATTACCATTATGTTACTTTCACGTAATAGAAGGAATCGTGTTTTATACGCTTTAATGGAAAAGAAATATTTGCAGCTTCGTAATAATAATAATTTCATTTTGGAGTACGGGGTAACTCAAGATAGTCAAATATTTTCTAAGGACTTCGTGACTAACCGAATTCGGACCCTCCTTCGGAAAATCCCCAAGGAAAATGCCCCCTGGAAAATTCCCAACGATTTCGGAGATAGAACTGACGAATTACGAAAGGGATTTCAAATTACCTGACTAGAGATCAAAGCATTTCTATGTATTTTCCTAAAATGTTGCGTGTTATTTGCATGTTAATTAGTTGTGCCTCATAGTATCTAAACATATGAATTCCATAATCGAGATTGTAGACCATCTATTTTACCATTTAATATTTTAGAAATTATTACTTCCTCGGAATTGTTTAAATGAAAATTAAATGTCTTGGTTCAAATGGATACATTGCGTGAACTAATTTAGTAAAATTGTAAAGTTCATTTAGTTACATTAGCCATATATCTCAAACTGGAATCGCATAATTCCAAGTTCATAAACTTACTTTTTCCGCGATAAATAAACGTTTATAAATTATATTGTTTTTCATGTTGTACTTTCATATATATTATGTTATAAACTGTATTCTTTCTCCCTCCATCTTATAATTATGCTTGTCTTCTAAGAAAATATTTGGAAGGAAATTCCCGAATCACAAAGTTCCCATCGCACTCGGAATATCTTGCGATAAACCGAGAACACCGAGGACAGTAGTTTTCCGTTTAAAATGTGCACGCCAGTCACGAAAGGAAATGTTTGGGGAAAATAGTTAAGTGATATGATGGCGGAAACAGAAGAGAAATGCTCTAAATCAAGAGACGTTCCCATATACGAAACACAACAGTCACAAGTAACGTTTAATGTAATCTCTTCGAGCGAATATTAAGAAGTTCAACAATGAATATTACTGTACTTACGTAAAACCTACAAAACTTTTCTGTTAACTCGAGCAATACCCTTGATATTTCATGGAATATTTTTGCCTCCCAATGAATATAATTATTTGAAAAAGCAATTAATTTTTTTTTAACTAAACGAAGAAGTAAAAACCGTGCATGAACAAGAAAATTTCCTCGATTCAAAATAACGCTACTTAAGGGAATACGAATTTTAATGTAATTCAAGATGGTGACTACTGAACTGTGACAATCCGGTCAATCTAGTTTATATGTAAAGAAACGATGATATTCTAGTCCACAACATCAAAGTACGGCATTTTTGAATTTGTAAGTCGGATCGTTAACCAATTCCGGCCTCTCTTTTACAGGGGATTCGCCGTCATTATGCAAGGATACTGACCGATACGACGAAGCGATAGAAATTTCTATATTCGAGCCAATTGGTATGCTGGAGACGAGGAGAACCGTCTTAAGAGACAAGGAACGTGTGATGGAGCCAGTGGGGGTTATTAAGCAAACGAGTTGCTACTAAAGAGAAGGAGAGTGCGGCACGCCGGCAGAACTTGTAACCGATCTTCGCTATCGCTTGCTATCGTGGTTGTCGTTCGTTCCGAATTTACGTGACTGTCGCTCATCGTCACTCGGCAAACACTTACCGGCTACTGGTTCCGACAGTTCCACGAGGAAAACGGCGACATGACCGGTAACATAACCACACTATATTAAAGATTTCGTATACACACAGATTGGTACTTTCAGTTGCACCGATTAAGATAAAATATAGTATCTATGAAGTATTAATGAATCCCGCCGTTTTGTATTTTTCAAGTGAAACTTCTTTAGCCACCGTAGTGCGAGTTCGCTGCATGAAGATTAGAATCAGACAAAAAGTGAAACGCCGTATAGAGGCGCCAAACACTGACGAGTCGGACAGTGAGAGAGATTTGAAGCTATTTTTTACTTGCTGCATTACTGCAAAAATGCTTTCACCGAAACGTTTCGATTGGTTGAAAATAGATTGCCGCTATGGACGACACATAAAGAATTGCGAGCCAATCGAAGCGTTTTACTGCATGCAATTTTGCGGTAATACATCAAATGAAAAGATACTTTCAGAACGCCTAGTTTCACTATTTCGTTTCGTCGCCATAGAATCAGTGAATCAGTGCGGGAAGGAGAAGGAGAAGGATTAGCAATAAGCCAGTGCATTTATAGGCAGTACAATAGTGAGTCATGGCAAGAGGGGGGCGCTGGGGTGTTTCACCTTTTCGTTTCCTTCTCGTATCGCTTCCGAGGACTGAAATTAACGGTAAACTGAGACTGACGTGTTTCATATTCTCGTTTCGAAATATTGTTTTTTCGGCAGTGATGTCGAAAACAAGTACCGAACACGTAAGAGCATTTCATGAAAAAAAGTCTGCACAAAGGCCACCTAAAAGAGCTTCAAAGACTATCCTGCAACGCTTGAGGAAATTTAATGCCTGGGAAAAACCATCTACAATCGACATAGCGTTAAATTTTATATCATCAGCTCAAACATCAATGGTGAATTATGTACCTTCAACTTCAACTGCACTCACCAGCAGAAATTTCATCTTTTTTTTTTAAATAAATGCTGTCAATTTAAAATACAGGGTTTCAACATATGATGGTTTATTTATCTCATTTAATGGCAAGCCTTTTATCTTTTTAGGATTCACTTTGGGAAAGTTGATCATCGAGGGAAAAACCAAGAAGGTTTTTGAAGTTCTCGAAGATTCATCCTTATGTCTTCTTCAAAGTAAAGATCGCATAACTGCTGGAGATGGGGTTAAGGCTCACGACTTAGAAGGCAAAGCAGCAATTAGTACTGCTACGACAGCCAAGGTTTTTGAACTGTTGAATCAGGCTGGTATTAAGACGGCGTTTGTTAAAGTCACTGGTGAAACATCTTTTGTTTCCAAGAAATGCGAAATGGTTCCTATTGAGTGGGTTACTAGAAGGTTGGCTACAGGCAGTTTCTTGAAAAGGCATCCAGGTAAATATTATTACTGCAAAAAATAATACAGTTATTAATATAACATTGCTGGAATTTAAATTCATTGGTTGCACTGCAGGAGTTCCAGAGGGATATAGATTTAACCCACCGTTGCAAGAGACTTTTTTTAAAGATGATGCTAATCATGATCCTCAATGGTCGGAGGAACAAATAATTTCTGCAAGTTTTAAATTAAATGGAGTTCTCATCGACAAAGACAAGTATGATATTATGAACCGTACCACTTTGGTTGTGTTTGAAGTCCTTGAAAAAGCTTGGTCAACAAGAGATTGTGCTTTAATTGACATGAAGATTGAATTTGGTGTTGACACCAACGGTGAAATTATGGTTTCTGATATTATTGATAGTGATTCTTGGAGACTTTGGCCTTCAGGTGATAAACGGCTTATGAAGGACAAGCAGGTAAAATTGGAATAAATTTAATATTATGAATTAATTAATAAAAAACAATTTTGTCATTCATACCTTAATGTCATAGGTTTATAGAAACCTGACCTCAGTAACTAAAGCTGATTTGGATATTGTAAAACGTAATTTCAAATGGGTAGCAGATCAATTAGAGTATCTTGTCCCACCACCCAGCTCGTTAGTTGTTATTTTGATGGGGTCTCCAAATGATGAAGAGCATTGCAAAAAAATTGCTACATATGCTCAAAATTTGGGTTTAAGAACATGTTTGAGAGTGTGCAGTGCACATAAAAGTACGGAAGAAACATTAAGAATTTTAGCTGAGTACGAAGGCAGCGGGGAAAAGGTAAAGTACGTTTTAGTACTTATTATAAAGCATGCAGATAGACTCTTTAAACCTGCTTTTGTGTAAAACACATCCAGTACAATCGTCATATCAGAATCCCCAGTGACCTAAGTGACTCTTTAGCCTCTCATTTGGAGATAATATTATCTAGAAATATGACTGTGGAAGAGGATTTCACGAACGAGAATATTTGTTTCTTTCTTATCGGTTTCATTTTTTTTTTGTTTTGTCTAGGTAGTCTTGATTGCAGTAGCAGGGAGAAGCAATGGACTGGGTCCAGTACTCTCTGGCAACACTCCCTTGCCTGTCATCAACTGTCCCCCTGTTAAACCAGAGAACGTTTCCCAGGACGTATGGTCCTCGCTTAATGTTCCTTCGGGTAAGTTGTTGAACCAAAGATGAATAATATTAATTTAAAAACATTAAATTGAACAGCATATACATTGCCGTTGTTTAACGTTAGGGAATAAAACTATGTATCAGGACATAAAAGGAGAGATACGAGATTATTACCTATTGGTTGGATTCTAAATAAGCAAGACAATTTCTCTTTTTTCTTTTTCAGGACTGGGATGTACAACAGTTTTATATCCTGAAAGTGCAGCACTAGCAGCAGCCCAAATTCACGCTTTGAACGATCATTTAGTTTGGTCACGTTTGCGTGTGAAACAGTTAACGAATTTCATCACACTGAAGAATGCTGACGCAAAAATGAGGAATCTCACTGTCTAGTTCATCATCTCATTGTACTCTTTACAATGTTTTCACATATATGACACTGCCTTTATTGCATATACAGTTACGTTACGGTTCTATCCCTGATTCTTTTAAATTGGAAAAAGTCATTAAGAAAGATCATACTTAATTATTAAGGTATTATAGAAGTAAATGTTGTTTGCAGCACTTGCCGTTTATACAATTATTTTATTTCTCTTATTAATGTTGTACAATTTGGCACAAGTTTACAACATCGGTGTATTTTCACGAAAACCAATTTTTGAATGAGAAGTTTCATTCGTTTTATGTTTAGTACGTGTAATTTTTAGTAAATGTTCATGATAGCCCTCTTGGTATACGCAATTCTGTTATTTCTCTTGGTTATATTATACTGGCTACAAGTATACAACATTCATGTACTTCCTTTCAAACAGGTTTTCGAGTAAAAGACATTATGATTTAATACATATTCTTCATACAAAGTTTTGTACAACTGTTTGTCTCAAATAAAAAGAAATTTTCTTCTATCCTATCAATTTTAACTATTAACAATGTACGTCATACATTGAGATACATTTAATTACTCTTTCTTATGTACATTTTCTATCCACCCAAATATATTCAATATGTATTTACAATAATAATGGATATGTATGGATGTTAACACTGATTTTGTTTTACAAGTTGTTCTATGTCTTGAATCTCCTTTGGACAGTTTTTTGTTAAAACAATTGGTCCATCGCTTCTTAACAGAATATCGTCTTCAATTCGAATTCCTAATCCATGAAATTCAACTGGAGCCAACTTGTTTTTGCTATTCACATATATACCTATAATGAAATAACACTGTATTAACTTTTCTGGCATACATGATATTTTTGAAAGAAACGTACCTGGTTCCATTGTGACAATCATGCCAGGTTCAATATGAATATTTCGTGAAATTGTTCCCGTATCATGGACATCCATTCCTAAATAATGACTAACATGATGGGGGCAATATGAGTATGCTGCAGAAATAAGCTTTTCTTGGGAAAGATTGTTGGGAATAAGACCAATTTCTTGTAATCGTTTGCCCAACAGGAAGCACATCTCATGAAATATTTGATCTAGCGTGGGCATATTGTGCAGTCTTTCAATTAAGGCTTTTTGAACATCAAGGACTATGTCGTACAGTATTACTTGTTGAGGTGTAAATGTACCATTAATAGGCCAAGTACGTGTAATATCTGATGTATACCCATGGTATTCGCAACCTGAAATTTATTAAGAAGTTTTTCAGTTTTCTCCTTTTTGTGAAATATGTAGTAGATAAAACAATGTTATTAACCTGCATCCATTAAAACCATATCACCATTTTGAATAATTTGATTATTCATAATGTAATGAATGATATTGGCATTTTTCCCTCCTGCAACAACAGGAGGGTAGGCTAAAAATTCAGCACCATTCATGCGACATTCATAATCCACTATGGCAAATAACTGATGCTCACTCATCCCTGGTTTGGACATTTGAATGGTCTTTGCAATTGCTGCTGAAGCTACTTCACAACTTTTCTGTATTATTTGTATTTCTGACTCAGATTTAATTAATCTAATTCGATGAATTATTGTCTTTGGAGATTCAAATGTTTTAATGGATGTATTACGAAGTTCTTGTAATTTTTTGTGAAGTTCTGGCTGAACGATTTCAGTACTATCATACCACATACCACAATTCCTATGTTTACTTAAAAGAGAAACTAAATAGAGTTCAAATTCTGTAGTAGGTAGTGCTTCGTCAACACCAAACATTTCAGCTGCTGCTTCTACTCCTGTTCTTGGACCATCCCATAATTCTGAATGCTCATCTTTCTTCCGCATAAACAAGACTGATTTGAACTGATCATTATTGGCAAACATAACCAAAGCACTATCTGGTTCTTGGCAACCAGTAAAATATAAAAAGTCTGTATTCTGTCGGAATACGTATGGTATTTTGTCAGACATATAAACCTTTGTTGAGGATGGAATAATCAGTATTTGTGATTGTTTTGAATTCTTTCCTATATTATTACCCGAAATTATCATTTCCATAAGTTTATTTCGCCTATTCTTAAATTCTTCCAATTTAAATCCTGGTATCAGTTCTCCCTCCTTTAAAAGATGAGAATGAGATTTTGGCGTTGGTTGTCCATATGTCGATTCTGAAAAGTTTTGGATACGCTGTTGATGTGATACTAAACCTTGAGTTATCTCGGTAGAACATTTTGCAAATGTCTGATATCCTACAAATAACATTTTTTATGTTAAAAACAATGCCATACAAATTAGTTTATAGATTATTTTAATATATTATTTATGTATAAAACTATCCAAATTTGAAGAGGAACTTTCCAGCACGCATGAAATAACCTACACCACGAATACATTAATATTTCTGGAAATGTGAAATAAAAAATCTAAAATATTTCTTATATTTGAAATCCTTTTAATTTTTACCTTAAATTTACTCAAATTAGTAAATAAATTTAAGAATTACTATATCACCATAAACATAACCTAACATGAACGACTGAATGCCATTCTGTACCTATTCACATATCTGCTCACCGAAAATAGGTAGATTCCTCGTAACAAATCTCATGGAACAGAACATTTTTAACTTATGGTTATGAAAATTAACATATGATAAATATCTTAGTTAACTAAGAAAGGAATTTCAACGTGCTGACGATTTTTCATTTCGCGGGTCGAAATACAATTGAGTTACTTGAAGTTGCTTCCATCGCTGATTGGTTGAAAACTCACCAATGGTGTTGCATGACTCATTTTCGTCTAGTGTCAAATATTCTAATTGGTTAGCCGAAAAATGGTCTGCTCCTTGCTTGCGGATCCGTAAATATTTACGTTTCACAATCAATACGTTCTCGAATCGAGTGTAAAGCCGAACGACTATTAACCGCAGAGTTTTTATGCAGTTAATCGAACTAAAGGATACGTAAAAAGGATGTCGAGCAACGAAATTTGTCTCCCGGTATCGTAACGACAGACAGCGACGAAGTCAGTTATTTAGCTAACGTCCTGTCACCAACTGTCAAGAGAAACCAAGAGAGATGGCTACCTTTAGTAATTATACATTTTATTAATTAATTTCGATGATCATAGAAAACCGGCTCCACCGTTCATTACGAAGATGATTGTTTAGGTAACTAATGTTTTACTCAAGCATTGTAACATAACCTTTTCTATGAAAACGGAGTAACATTATCCTTGTTCCTTTTTGTTGTTTCAATTTTTACTTAAAGTGTAAAGTTATTTACTTTATTTTAAAAAATACATCTAGAATAAAAATTTGTTCACTGATAGTAACAACATTAATAGTAGTACTTTTGCTGGAGTTTTATTTGAAAATCATTGCATTCGTTATCTGAAAGAAGATCAAACTTTGTAGAAATGCTGTAATTTCTGTTTATAATAAAATTTCGGATAATATACGTTTATTTCTGTAGGATTTAAATAATCAAAGCGAAATGAGTAGCCAACTGAATGTAACATTAAGACCAGAGGTACGTTTAGATGCTAAGTGGTTAAAATTGGATTTGCAACGATTCCTTCGTCGTGATGGACTTGCTGAACTTTGGAATGAAATGGTACGGGATGGGGAAATTGTTGGATCTTTTAGCGATGGTCTAATTAATTCTGCAGGTGTTCTTGCAAAAAAAGGTACATTAGCCTAAATAATTAAGAATTATTTTTTATTTTCATATTTTTAATACGGTATTACAACTCAAACTATTCTATATAATTATTTTTAGTACGGAAAGTTCTGATGAAACAAAAATTTATATAAAATACATTCTGCAGGTGACAGTGGGCATTACTACTGCAATTTGCGAGTGTTATCCTGTCTTTGTTGTGATGGCATCTGTGGACCTCAAAGTGGTTGTAATTGTGGACCATGTCAAAAATTAGATGCAGAAGAAGCCACAAGATGTACAACAACAGTAGAAAAAATAATACCAGTGCAACGCACAATAGATTCTTGGGTTTGGGGACTACAACCATGTATGTAATTTGAATACCTTAAAAACCTTGTACAAATATGTTTGGAAATTTGTAATATAAAAACAAAACTTATCCATTTTACACTTTATTTTTTTCAGCTGAAGGTGAATTGACTACATGCGTTGAATCTTTGATAAAGGAGCAAAGAAATCTGTGTCATGAAGTTGCTAATAGTACACTTTCAGCAACACGCCTTAGACAAAGATTAATTGTTGCAAGAAGATATTTCACAGCTTTGTCTCGATACAAACCGCAAGAAGCCAAAGAAGTAGTGATTCAGAAGAATATAGTCAAGACACAAAAAATGTACGAATTCAAAAACTATAATGTACTTAAACCAAATTAAGTTAAGGTGTTGGGAAACAGTTGCAAACTATCCATGTTCTTGTCAGATAAATAAGATCAGACTGTACCAAGAAGAAGCTATTACTATAAGATACGTGGATGTGCACTTTGTAATCTATATATTATATTGCGGTCAGATGTCACAAAATCATTTTCTTACAATTCTTACAATGATTTCTTACAATGATTACAAAACTATAATGGCATAGATACACATCTGATAAGTAACAGAAGGATACTAAGAATATATTATGAGTAAAAATACAGATAAAACTATTTTTTTTTAATAAGGCAACCATATCAATTGATAACTATGAAGCAAGAAACTAGGTAGAATTTGGAGCCAAATACATTTGTACATTATATTTATTTGTAATATAATTTTATATAATAGTTATCAAACAAAGTGCACATTCACAACAAATAAATTCTGTTCGGTGAGTAGCGTATTTTATGCCGATCTGGATATTATATTCTTATTCATAAAATTCTTAACAGTATTTGTTTAAACTTTTAGCATAAAACCTATTGAGAAAGCGACAGTTGGACTTGCACGTGTTGGATCTCGAGCAGCTTTAAACTTTTCGTTTGCATTCCTTCGACGGGCGTGGCGTTCCGGGGAGGATGCTGATCTCTGCAGCGAGTTATTAACCGAATCACTAGAAGCTTTACAATCGTTACCCGAAGCGACTCTTTTCGATGAAGGCACCGTTTCCAGAGTTTGGCTGGAAGTCGTTGAAAGATCTGCCAAATTCTTGCGTCAAGTCGTGACCGGGTAAGTTTCTCGCAGTACAGTACACCTGAGTAGTAACTACATGAGTGATAAAAAAAATGCGCTAATGGTAATAAGTATTTCTTACTCCTCACTATTCGTCTTAGTCGCGTTTCAGTTTCATTAAATATCTGTTCTTTAAGGATGTTTCTTTATTTGTAGGGACGTGGTGACAGGTAGATCATGGTGTCCCGTTCCTCTATCGGATCAACATACAGCGTTGTGCTTACTCCTCGAACTTGTTACTCAAAAAGGCACATTATCCAGCCTCTTAGATTCCGTAATCTTACTATTACACCTAAGCGGTAAGTCGAAAAACCAAGATAACCGCGTGATGCCACCTGGCTGTTCTGCCCCTTTGATTCCACTACTTCGACGTCTTAACACGATTCCTGCGCCAAAACCGAGGCATACGGATAACACCGTACTGCCAGGGCCGTGCGAGGTTCTCCTGAAGTACCTGAGATTACCCGACGACAACACCGTTGCCGTTGATTTAAGAAAAGCAGCGGTTGTAATAATGTGTCATTTAAGTCGACTGGCAACTCCACTTTTACCTCCAGTCATAACCGACGGCTTTTCAAAAAATCAGACACAAGTGTATCAAGAAGTCTTGGCTTGGGGAAGAATTAAATTAGGCAACGGAACTTCCCCATTCTACTGCGATGCGATCGCAGAACTTGGAGTGAAGCAACTATGCTGTACCGAAAGAGCACTGATGATTTTGTCCCTGAGTGGTAAGGTGTACATGATGTACCATGGTTCCGAGACTCAATATCCGCAAAGAATATACGGTTTTGCGGAGAAAACGATAACGATGATAGCCTCCCACCCGGATGGCAAGCACTATTTGGCTTTGGCTCAGGATGGGACTGTCTTTTCTTGGGGGAATGGTGATGGTGGAAGACTCGGCCATGGGGACACCACATCCTACGACGAACCAAAGGTACTGGAGGCCCTTACTAACAAGGATATAACATTCATAGCATGCGGAAGCAACTATTCCGCAGCTTTGACAGTCACAGGCTCATTATACACCTGGGGACGAGGACACTATGGAAGATTAGGTCACGGCAACTGCGATGACGTTTTAACCCCCACCTTGGTCTCCGCTCTGGATGCACACACGGTTGTCCACGTTGCCTGTGGAAGCGGAGACTGTCAAACGCTCTGTGTCACCTCTTCCGGAATCGTCTTCTCCTGGGGTGACGGAGAATTCGGGAAGCTCGGCAGAGGCGGCTTTATCGTTTCAAAGGTTCCCAAAATCGTGGACAAGCTGTTCGACATAAACGTCGTTAAGGTTTACTGTGGTGGCCATTTCTCCGCTGCGTTGACAGCGTCCGGAGAAGTGTACACGTGGGGAAAAGGCAACTCCTTTCGACTGGGACACGGAAATGAGGAACATGTCAGTTATCCGAAAATTATTGATGTCCTAAAGAACAAAAAAGTAATAGATCTATCAGTGGGTAATGTCCACTTATTGGCGCTTACGGAGGATCGCCTCGTGTACGGATGGGGCAGGAACGACTACGGCCAGATAGATCCATCGTTGGGTCCTGTGGTAACTGAGCCAACTGTTTGCCCGACCCTAACTGGTAAAAATGTCATTGGCTTGGTGTGGGGCCCTTCGCAGAGTTTCGCCTGGTCCATGCACTCCATGTGGTCCGTTGGAAGCAGGGTTGCCTTCGTGGTAGACCTTTCTGAGGAGACGTTTAAACTTCTGGACACTTTAGTGGTAAAATCTTGCGAAGGACTGCCAGGTACTCGGCCCCCTACGCAAGATCGGGAATGCCTGACAGTGGCGACATTAAATTTGCTAAGGTTACAGTTTCACGCCATGATAACTCACAATATCGATAACAAATCCGTGGGACTAGGGTGCTCCTCCCTGCTCAGCTCGTTGAAGCAGCGCTGCATCGCTTTAGCAAGCGGAGCTGGTATATTAGCTACGATTCAAGAAGCTGCACAAGCGGTATTGCAAACAGGATGGAGCATTTTACTGCCAACGGCGAACGAACGAGCGAAAACTCTCTCGAGTTTCTTGCCTAATTCCAGTAGTCTCGAGCAGTCAAATACCAACAAGGGCCAGAGATTTATGGCTGATTTGCTCGTCTCCAGTCTAATGGCTGATGGTGGATTGGAGTTCGCTTTGAAGACTGCGATCAAGGCCGAGGTCATCGATATCTCCGACGACAAGGAGTTTCCCGTGACTAAGAGCGGGGAAATTAAGCAATCCAAGGAATTCAACTCGGAGAAGCACAATGTGACGATATCCCTATTCCAACTAGTCAAGCAATTGATAAAAGACGGATCTTGCATTACTCAGTCCAGATTTCAAGCTCTGCAACAGTCCAATAGAAACGAGGACATGCAAAAACTCGACAACTCCCCAAGCTTGAACTTACTACTCCGATTTCAACGACTTCTGATCACAAAGATGTACGGATGCATCAATAAATGCAGCAACGAGGAACCGCGAGATCAAGAGATGCTTGGCGCCGAATCTCTCCTGAAGAAGTACATCCATCAAGTTGCCAACCACGTAACCGAAGTTCTTCCGATAGCGAGCGAGATTGCTGGCACGAGCAGTAAAAGTTTCATGCTAGTAGCTGCTGTCTTGAAAGGCGACATCATTAACATTTTGATACCTGAACTGATCACTTGTCTGATACTGCTTCAGGTGGACTATCCAATGTTATTACTTAACATGAATTGGATGGAAGTGCTCTCCCCGATTCTGGAAGCCTTGGACGAATTTAACAGACGAGCACCTACGATAGAAAAAGATGATGCCGATGATTTGTCATGGCCGGGAATCATCGCACCACAGCACGGAAACAAAATACCCGTCCATGACGAGCCACCTCTAATTCGATGGGCTGATCTAGAAAACCATAATAGAGACGGTGGTCTCTGGATAGTAGTTAACAATAACGTCTACGACGTACAAGATTTCCGTTACGAAGGTTCGTGCAATGTAGAGATGCTTAACAGATGCACAGGGAGGGATACGATAACGTTACCTCGATTCTCTCTGATGAACGGAATCATGGACTCATGCTTCGTAGGACATTATTCACAGCCTGAACCAGAGAATACGCAGTTTACGGTAGAGGTTTCGGACGTTTGTTTATCACTCCTTGATATGGAGAGGGCTCTTGGATTCCTTTTAGGTCTACACGCGTACACCATGCGTCAAAGTTTGGCTTTACAAGCTGCCGAAGAGGAGGCAGGGACGTGGCTGAACGCACAATTTCTAAGAGGCGGTCTTCAGGTTCTGCAGCCTCCGAATCCATACGAAGAAGAAAAGGGAGAGGCTAGGAGCAATACCTCCACAGCTGCGAATTCACCGACAGAACCTCCGGTGTCTATGTGTACCAAAGATGAGCCGCAAAAACCTGCGGACGACAGGGTGTCGTTCTTTATTCAAGCATTGGCAGAAACTCATAAAACCGACGCTTATGTACAAGCTTTCTTAACTATCGTCGATAGATACAACAAAGCTAATAACCTACTTTCTCACGTGGATTTTTCTGGTGACCATCCTGTCGAGGAGATTGGTCGCCTTTTAACAGCCGTCATCATAAAGCATCTTGCGCTTGGCCACCAGACCATAGCGCTAATAGATCAAGAAGTAATGGAAGGTAACGCAAAGCTTACAAAACCTTTGGCTGATACGGTCAGGGCCGTTCACCAGACCAAGTGGAACCTGATAAGAGCGAAGCAACAGCAAAACAGGAGTTACAAAGAGGTTTGCGCCCCGGCACAAGAGAAATGTAGATTCTTACTGTACGAGGTAAGGCCCGCTACAAGTTACGAAGTCCAAGGTCTGCAAAGATTGAAACTACTTCACACCGTCCCGAAGTTCAAACGAGCCGTTCGTGCTATGATCGTGGACATAAAAAGAAATAAGGATTCTCCCACTAAATTGGAAGATATCGTGAACGCTTCCATTCAGAACGGTAAGAGTAAGACCAAGTCGGACGACGATACAACACCGAAGGACATCACCCCAAATGCTTCGTTGCCTTCCAAGTTAGAGGACATTTCTGGAATAAAGAACGTAATCATGCAGTTAACCGAGAAGATCAAATTTAGACCTCTTGTGAGTAATCCGGAACTGATAACCAGTATTATTAACTTCTCCATCACGGAGGATGGAGGTGATGTCGAGACTCTACGTCGAGCAATGTATTGCCAGATCCAACGAGCTAAGATGCGCGAAGAAGGTATCATAATGATTAAGGAGCTGCTCAAAAAGGATTACTTGATAACATCCGTCAAGTACTCCCTACTCAATGGTTGGCTTGGATTGTCCCACGAAAACAAGCGTTTGATTGGTGGGATCACCCATTGTTTGAGCAACATTCAACTGGTGACTCCTTACCAGAGGTCGAAAGTGATCCTAGCGGAAGCCGACGTCACATCTTGGGCGATTCAAGCCCTGAGAGCTTACGTCGTGCAAGCCGAAATGCCCAATAAACCCAAAGCGACCGGAAAAAGCAGTCTCAATCAAGAAACGTATACGTGGTTGAGGAAGTTGCCGAGAGCAAGATTTCTCTTAACGATCCTAGGCATGCTCGCGAATTATCAACACGCCAACGAAATCGGTCTCTTGATAAACTCCGGTCTTCTTTCCAGTATCTTGACCTTGTTGAGGCAAATCGGGCCCTCCATGCAGTATAAACCTCCGCGGCTTGAAGGAGCAGCAGCGATTTACGAGGACGCGGTGCATATGAGTAAGCCACAGACTGTTCAGCTGAGTGGTATTGAATTGGCTGCGTTGATGAAGATCGGAACGAGAGTCGTGCGCGGCGCGGATTGGAAATGGGGCGACCAGGACGGATCTCCACCTGGAGAAGGCAGCGTTATAGGCGAACTTGGGGAGGACGGCTGGATCAGGGTGCAGTGGGATAACGGAACTACGAATTCCTACCGAATGGGTAAGGAAGGTAAATATGACCTAAAATTAGCCGAACCACCTCCACCTCCTGATAGCGACACCGACAGCGAGACGTCGGTGAACGGCGGTAAGTCCGACAAGAACGGGGTCAAGGAGATCCATCCCACGACGTACCTGAAGAACGCATCCACTAACTTGCTACGAATAATCTTGCTCTCTTGCGGCGTAGAATCGGACGGAGTTCAACATTCCGCGTTGAAAATTCTGGCCTCCGTCCTCCGAGGAATAATTTCTGCAGCCAGCAAATCCGACTCCAGCGTCCAAACGCAGCTAGCTAAGGAACACCACGGAACCTGGGCAACGCTAAGCATTTTAAAAACAATCGCCAATTCCCCGATGTTGTGCAGGGCTCTGAGCACTCAAGCTTGGGTCGACTTTCTTTTAAATGTGATAGGAGAAGACAATCACCCCAACTTGCAAAAACAAATCATGGCTGTGAAGCTGCTTGCCGCTACTCTGCCCTCCTGGCCAGTCGAGTCTCCCGAAATGACGCCATTCTTGGACAAGGTCTTCAAGCTCTTAGGGCAAATTGCTCTCATATGCGAATCCGAAGTGCGTGCGGAGCTTCACGCGAACAAGAGTAGAGTGTCTTTGACTGCATCGCACAGTTCTACCCTAGCCGAGGAGATAATTTCCCTGATACATAAATTGCATTCCCTTCCCGGCTGGAACACCGCATTGAACGCATTTTTAACAGCGAAGCTAGCCTTGGCTTCGGATTTACTTAATGACGGACCATTGTTCCACATACAAATGAATGAGAACGACGGAGGTAACAGTCTGGGAATTCAACAGACGGTCATGGCTGCCTTAATCGTCGTCGGTGATCTAGACAGTAGACCCAGAGTTGGCGGTTTGGTTGAATTGGATAACCAAATTGGAACGGTCTGCAAGTTGACCTCACACTCCAAACTGGTCGTACAGTTGCATGAGAACGGAACACAAAAGAAGGTACCATTTTCGGCAGTACGACAGATCAGCGAGAAGTTTCACCTGGACAGAATGACCATGACGGACTCGCTCATGTCTACCTGGGCCAGCCTATTACTGAATCACAGTGGAACGGATAAGAGACCAGGAGGAATGCCCGTTATAGCAGGCGTGGTCAACGCATCGGTTCTTCGAATCCAACAACAGCAACTAGCAGCGCTGAACGCCGGTAGGATGTTACTTGACTACCAGTCCAAACTGAGACGAGTCTTGAAGACCTTGACGAACGACAGCGACGATGACCGGACGACCCTGTTACAAGAAATGCTCATAAGAGCCACCAAACCTCAGCCCTTGAAGCCAATATTTAGCCGACAAGAACTGGAGACTGCAGCCTTGATGGTAAGTCAATACTTGGCCTCGGAACTGATTCACACTCCAATTCATCGCAGCAAGGTCGGTTCGGAACCAGCGAGTCCTACGTCGGATTGTTCCTTGGCGTCCTTAACGTCCAGCCAGCGTCGTCACTGCAGAAGCTCGAGGAAGATCGGACCTCCAACTAGTCCTTTAGTCACGCAGCTCATAGAGATGGGGTTCCACCGGAAAAGCGTTGAATTTGCCATGAAGAACCTGAGCGGAACAGAGGCACACCTGACCACCGAGACGGTGGTGGGTTGGCTCTTGGAGAACCCTGACGCGGCATTCAGCGATACCGAGACCTTGTCCAGCGTGGACGGTTTATCGGATTCCGACGACTCGACGAGCGACGACGTCGACGACTTGACGTCGAACCACGAGGCTGGCTCTACCGCGCATCGAACCTTCATGAAACGGTCCGATTTCCTTTCCGTAGACGAGTATGCTATTTACGTTCGTGATAACGTATCCGCCGGGATGCTGGTGCGCTGTTGCAAGAGCTACGAAGAGGTGGATCACGGTGACGTGGGCCAGGTGGTTAAGATCGACCCGGAAGGTCTACATGACCTGAACGTGCAGGTCGCCTGGCAACACAAAGGTGGCACCTATTGGGTAAGATTCATCCATATTGAGCTTTTAGGACACCCGCCGTCTTTACCGGGACCACCAGCCTTGAAGATTGGCGATAAAGTACGCGTGAAGGCCTCAGTCGCCGTTCCCAAATACAAATGGGGCTCTGTGAACCACGATAGCGTCGGAGTCGTGACGGAAATCATCAATAATGGCAAGGACGTGTCCGTAGACTTTCCTCAACAGAACGGCTGGACCGGGTGTGCAGCGGAAATGGAGAGAGTACCCTCGTGCCATCACACCGTTTCTTGCAATTCTTGCCACATGTCGCCCATATCTGGACCCAGATTCAAGTGCAAACTTTGCGAGAACTACAATTTGTGTGAGAATTGCTTCTACACGAAGAGATCCCATCGGCACGGTTTCTACAGGATTACCGAACCAGGGACGGCAGCGGTCTATGCTGGTAAACCGGGGAGATATCATCGGCAGGACACCTCCGAGAGCTCTTTGATCGAGGATTGGTCAAGATGTATCAGATCACTGGATGTCTCGTCGAGGGAACATTGGGCACTGAGACTAGTCGATGGGTCTGGCGAATACTGGCAGAGCTGTGGCTGCCAAGGGAAGCACTGGATTCGTTTAGAGATGTTGCCCGGGATCATGATCTACTCCTTGAAGATACAGGTGAACCCTCAGGATAGCAGCTACATGCCTTCCTGGATAGCGGTCAGCGGAGGGGACTCCTTCGGCAGTTTGCTAGAGCTGGCTTCGATAACCGTAAGGAACACCGACACTACCGTCACTCTGCTGCAAGACCTCCAAGAGTACTACCCCTGTATTGAAATAGCTATCAAACAATGTCGCAATGGCGGTATAGACTGCAAGATTCATGGTTTACAAATAGTCGGACGTAAGAAATTATTCGAGAACCAGCTGGCCACCTCTGTGTCGTTTTTAGCTTCTGACTGGGAGGTGGTGCAGGAACAGATGACAGCGCAGCGCACAGGTGACACCCATCAACACTCGGCCGTATACGTCTGGGGTCTAAACGACAAGGACCAATTGGGAGGCCTAAAAGGTTCAAAAATAAAGCTACCTGTGTACAGCGAAGCCCTGTCTCAGTTAAAGCCTGTCCACATCGCTGGGGGTAGCAAGACGCTCTTCATCGTCAGTCAAGAAGGGAAATTGTACGCCTGCGGAGAAGGGACTAACGGCAGGCTGGGACTCGGTGACAACAACAACGTATACGAACCTAGACCCATACCGTTTCTAAGTCAATACGTAATAAAGAAAGTGGCCGTGCATTCTGGAGGCAAACACGCGTTAGCATTGACCCTGGACGGCAAAGTGTTCTCCTGGGGCGAAGGGGAGGACGGTAAACTAGGTCACGGCAATCGCTTGTCTCTGGACAAGCCAAAACTCATCGAAACCCTGAAATCGAAAAGAATTAGAGATATAGCTTGCGGATCGGGGCATTCCGCGGCGATAGCGAGCAACGGTGAGGTATACACCTGGGGATTAGGGGAATATGGCAGGTTGGGCCATGGAGACACGAATACCCAACTAAAGCCGAAACTGGTAGAGGCGCTCGTGGGTCAGAGAGTGATCCAAATTGCGTGCGGCAGCAGAGACGCCCAGACAATGGCTTTGACCGATTACGGCTGTGTATATTCTTGGGGTGATGGAGACTTTGGAAAACTGGGCAGAGGAGGTAGCGATGGCTGCTATACGCCTCTTCTTATAGACAGGCTGACCGGTCTCGGGGTTATCCAAGTGGAATGCGGTGCACAGTTCTCCCTGGCCTTGACTAAGTACGGAGAGGTGTGGACTTGGGGTAAGGGCGACTACTTCCGTCTAGGTCATGGCAATGACCACCACGTGCGAAGACCCACCGTAGTCGATGGTCTGAGAGGGAAGAAGGTGATCCACGTGGCCGTGGGTGCTCTTCACTGTTTGGCGGTAACCGATGCCGGGCAGGTATACGCATGGGGCGACAACGACCATGGCCAACAGGGCAATGGTACAACCATCGTCAATAGGAAGCCGTCGCTGGTCCACGGTCTGGAAGACGCAAAGGTGAACAGGGTAGCCTGCGGATCGAGCCACAGCGTGGCCTGGGTGCTGACCGACCAGCCGACCACCAGCAACCAGGAACCGGTAGCGTTCCCCACGTTGAAAGATCCCCTAGGCCAGGCGTCCATAGGGATTCTGGATCCATCGGAGCCCACTGCGGTTGCGAATCCTAAAGACGTCAGGCCTTCCCTGGCGCACATCATTCTCTCCCTGGAGAGCAACGTGGCGAAACAACAAGCTCTGCAACACGTGATAAATGCCCTGCACATCATGCAGGCCAGGACGGCCATAGTCACGGCTCTACGTAGCCATACGGCGGTAACCTCTTGCCCGAAGTCTGCAACACCAGATGTTCCTCCAGAGGGGGCCATGAGCTCCAGCATCGGGCCCGTGGTTTACCAGAATGTTACCGAGATTGCCCAGGGTGGCGGTGAAGCGCCAGCGAGTGTCACCGAGGTACCCAACGTGGCCTCCAGTCCACGAGCTACCCCGGAATCCGAGGATTACCCGCTCGCCGTATTCCCTTCCATGTCCAGCTCCGCAAGTCTATCCTCCCGGGCCTCGAAGATGTCCACCAGCGCCATGAGCGTTATCGCGGCTACCTTGACTTCCAACGCCCATGTAATTGGCGAAGGGGCCAACACCGAATCGGGTCTGGACGAGTTCACCGCGGCCTTAACCGAGGACGACGCGAGGATGTTGGTGGACCTTCTAAAGCTCGCCGTGGCCAACAGAGTGTGCGACGGCGCCAAGGAGACCATTTCTTCTGTTCTGATCTCTTTAGGTAAGGCGAACAGGTCCATAGGGAACATGCTCCTGGAGCTCTGCGTCACCGAACTAGAGGACACGGCAGCCAACTCGAACTGCATGACCAATGCACCACAACCGGTGGTCCAGGAGACGCCGCATCCTTATATCGATGACACCACTCTCACGGGACACGTGAAAATTCCTGGGGCAGAGGTGTTGAGAATTGAGTTCGATCGACAGTGTTCAACGGAGAGAAGACACGATCCACTTACAATCATGGATGGTAGTTGTCGGGTCGTGGCCGTCCGGTCTGGCAAGGAGTGGAGCGAGTGGTCGGCCGAGATCAGGATACAAGGCGACGAGCTCAGGTGGAGATTCTGCTCGGATAGCTCGGTCAACGGATGGGGATGGAGATTCACTGTCTACCCTGTGCTGGCCACTCTTGAGCCCCTTGGCTCCGACCGAGCGGTACTCTCTCAGCCCTCCATCACCCTGGCGGAATACCTTTTGGACAATGATTTAATTCATTCCGACAAGAACATTGTTACCCGATTGGCAGCCACCCTGGCGCAGTGCAGTCAGCTCAGCATTCTGAGCGCCCAGCAGCGTATGTGGGCCCTGAAGAAGCTCCAGGTGGTGTACTTGAGTGCTCCTGGGATTCGATCCGATACCGCTCTATCGACCTTATTGGGCTCCTTACCCCAAGCTTTGCTCAGACAGTATGAATACGAGGATCCTGCAGTTAGAGGTGGCAAGCAACTGATGCACAGTGACTTCTTCAAGGTCCTCGTAGGCCTCGCTTGCGATCTTGAACTCGACTCCATGCAATGTTGCGCAGAGATCCACAAGTGGTCTTGGTTCCGGAGGTATTGCCTCGCTGCCCGAGTTGCCAAAGCCCTTATCAACCGCACTTCCCTACCCGCGCCCTTCTGCTTAGAAGTTATCAAAAGAATCAACGAGATGATCACCGATGGAGATACCGGATCCAAAGACCACGAGAACCATGAAATTTTTAAGCAAGAGCACGACGAGCAGTTACTGCAGTGGCTTAATAGGAGACCGGAAGACTGGACCTTGTCTTGGGATGGGTCCGGAGCTATTTATGGCTGGGGTCATAATCACAGAGGACAACTGGGTGGACTGGAAGGTGCTAAAGTTAAGCTACCTTCGCCCTGCGAGAGTCTTTCGGCTCTTAGGCCTGTTCAGCTCGCTGGTGGAGAACAAACTCTGTTTGCAGTCACTGCCGATGGCAAGGTTTATGCGACTGGTGAGCAACTTGTCATAATTTATTTTTAACATCTTATTTCTTAATCTAAAGTATAGGTGGAATATACGTCGAGCCTAATAGAAACTTCACCTAAACCTACAGAGATATTTAAATGAAGACAGACCTCTTTTTAAATGTTTATATGGTACTAGATATGCTTGTTTATCGCGCACTTATAAAAGGCATTGCTATTATTTACCTTAAAGGGTACGGTTCAGCCGGTCGCCTCGGAATTGGAAGTACGGACTCCGTAATGGTACCAACACTCTTGGAGTCTATTCAGCACGTCTTTATTAAAAAAGTCGCCGTCAATGCCGGAGGAAAGCATGCCCTTGCCTTGAGTTCCGAGGGCCATGTTTATTCCTGGGGTGAAGGAGACGATGGTAAACTGGGACACGGCGTTAGATTGTCCTTTGAGAGGCCGAAGTTGATCGAGGATTTACTCGGCACTGAAATCGTCGACATTGCCTGCGGTGGACATCACAGTGCCGCCATCAGCAGTGCCGGTTGGCTCTATACATGGGGAAAAGGTACTTTCTATACTGTGTCTCTACCTACCGCTTGTCTGTGACAATTGTTCAGTCGTAAGAAATTCATCTCATATTTCTGCAGTTACCCAAACACGTTTCATGCAAGTTTAATTTTATTGTTTTGCGAATTGAGATGAAAAATCGATATTGCAGGACGATATGGACGTCTGGGACATGGAGATAGCGACGATCAGTTGAGGCCCAAGGTCGTTGCTGCTCTGCAGGGTTACAAGGTCATCGACGTTGCCTGTGGTAGCGGAGATGCTCAAACACTTTGTGTCACTGACGACGACAACGTATGGAGCTGGGGAGACGGCGACTACGGAAAGTTGGGCAGAGGAGGAAGCGATGGTTGCAAATTTCCCATGAAAATAGAATCTCTCGAGGGACTTGGAGTGATCAAGGTGGAGTGCGGTAGCCAATTCTCGGTGGCGTTGACGAAATCCGGCACCGTTTATACTTGGTAAGAATGTGCAAATCTCATACTGCTTTTCATTCTTTATTTTACCGAAGTACACATAATTTATAACAATTGCCGAAATTTGATAGGATATTATAACATAAAATATAAAAGGATATCTTGAGAGGAATATACACTCTTATGTAACCCTAGTTTACGGCGATCTTAATAGCAGATTAACGTATGTAACTGATTAATTGTAAATATATATTATTAAAATTGACTGTTCTTTTCTATACTTTCAGGGGCAAAGGCGACTACCACCGATTAGGACATGGCAACGGTGACCACGTGCGTCGACCTCGTAAAGTAGCCGCTCTTCAGGGTAAGAAAATTATCTCAATTGCAACGGGGTCTTTGCATTGCGTGGCCTGCTCCGATAAAGGAGAAGTCTTCACCTGGGGCGACAACGACGAGGGGCAGCTGGGAGATGGAACCACGAGCGCTCTGCAAAGGCCAAGGCTTGTGCACGCTTTGCAAGGAAAGAAAATAACGCGCGTCGCGTGTGGAAGTGCTCACACGTTAGCGTGGAGCACGACGAAAGTCACGCAGAGCAGATTGCCAGCGTCGATCCCGATGGAGTACGACTTGGTGAAAGACTTGCCGTTCTCCACTTTGCACAATCGATTGGTCCTGTTGCATCATTTTGCGGAGTTGCTGTGTCCGTCGTTGACGATGTTTCCTACAATAGGTCCCATCAGTCTGAGCCGACTTGCTCCTATGTTGGTTTACAGCATCAAAGAGGCAACATTCCGCAAAGTGATTCAAGCAACGATGGTCAGGGACCGCCAACACGGACCGGTTATTGAGCTGAACAGGATCCAAGTAAAGAGGGCAAGAAGCAAAGGTGGACTCGCCGGACCTGATGGGATAAAATCAGTATTCGGTCAGGTGGTCTCGAAAATGTCTTTACTGACGCAAGACGTCCTTTTCCTGCCGCACCGGGTGTGGAAGGTCAAATTTATCGGTAGGTAAATCACTGCAAGGGTCATTGGGGTTGATCCGAACTCATTGTACGAATTATCCTTGATTCGTTGTTAATCGATGGTAAATGTCAATAGGGGAAAGTGTCGATGACTGTGGAGGTGGTTACAGTGAAAGTATTGCGGAGATGTGCGACGAACTACAAAACGGATCTTTACCTCTGTTTATTTCGACACCCAATGGCAGGGACGACAATGGAACGAACAGGGATTGTTTCCTGTTAAATTCGGTGGCTACCTCACATCTGCACCTGAATATGTTCCAATTTTTAGGAATATTAATGGGAGTAGCTATAAGGACGGGAAGTCCTTTGAGCTTGAATTTGGCCGAACCCGTTTGGAAACAGATAGCTGGAATTTCGTTAACGCCCGGTGACTTGACAGAAGTTGATAGAGATTACGTGCCCGGCTTATTGTGCATAAGAGATATGGACCCTGATGAAAAAGTTTTTCAGTCTTTGGAAATGCCCTTTTCAACTCCCTCCGCAGTTGGACATGATGTACCATTATCCAATAGGTAAGATTGTGATGATAATTTATTATCCTAGTCGTTCACAGGACAGCAGGCATTTAAATGTTTTACAGTGCATTTTGTATTTCAATAATTCCTTAAACATTTTAAAATACATTTTATTAACTTGTCGCAGATATCGAAAGATAACTCCGGAAAATAGGCACGAATACGTTCGGTTAGCTTTAAACTATAGACTTCACGAGTTTGACGCTCAAGTAGCTGCTGTACGGGAAGGTTTATCAAAAGTTGTCCCCGTACCATTGTTGGCTTTGTTTAGTGGAGCAGAGCTTGAAACAATGGTGTGTGGCAGTCCAGATATACCTTTATCTTTATTAAAATCAGTTGCAACGTACAAAGGTTCGTAATGCTTACTAGATATTGTTATTTATACTATTAATTATTAATGTAAAAAGTTATATCAATGAAAGGTGTCATTTTCATAAAATCTTAAGAGGGTGATAATGAATATTTAACATATCATAATCCCTAAGAATTCCTATACTTTCTATATATATTATAAGTACGTAATAAGAAATGGAGAATTTTAATATCAGAAAAATAAGAAAAAAAGATATATATTTATATTAATATCATCGTCCCAGGTATCGAGGCAACTGCACCATTAATTCAATGGTTCTGGGAAGTTATGGAAGAGTTTTCAAATCAAGAAAGATCTTTGTTTCTGCGATTCGTTTGGGGTAGAACTCGTTTACCACGGACAATTGCGGATTTTCGAGGGAGAGACTTCGTTTTACAGGTAATACACCTTCGATATCATTTACCTCTGTACTTTTACTATACAAAGGCAATTGTTTTGAAAATAGAAAGCCTTGATCCACGATATCAGTTACTTGCAATATCTGAACTTATATCAATTTATATTATAATTAATTCCCATTTCTTTTTTGTCGATTTTCTAGGTGATGGACAAATACAATCCACCGGATCATTTCTTACCGGAGAGTTATACGTGTTTCTTCCTTCTTAAAATGCCGAGATATTCGTGTAAACCAGTATTGCGGCAAAAATTGAAATACGCAATACATTTTTGTAAAAGCATTGACACCGATGAGTACGCTAGAGTGCAAGCTGTGCCTACTTCTGATACGGAAGACAGCGACAGTCTCGCCAGCGAAGAACATACGTCCCTTTAGTTTAAACAATCTGTGGAATTATGAACAAGAGTCGATAAAAACGATTTAAATGTGATACAGTAAGAGATCTCTCCGAAGAAAATTAACGTCTTTTACTCAGTATTTATTTAATTCAAGCTAGATAAAGATCTCTACTCATACCGTGTGAAAGAAATTGCATTCTGTATGCTACAAGAAAGGCTGAATTGAAATTACAATTAAGAAAAACTATTATCTTCAAAGACGACGTTACAGGATGGAATTTGCAACGGGAGATCTGCATACATCGGATAGATACTTAAGTAATATTTTTAAGGCTTGTGTGAATATCTGCTCTGCGATGGCCTTTTCAAATATCATAGATAGTGCGATATTGATGTTATTGATGATTGATCTTAAATTAGAATGATGCCAATTGAGAAACGAAAAGAGAAAAGCTAATTCGCCAAATAGTTCATTTTATCACGTTGACGATTGGGCATTCTACCGCATTGGAATAATACTTTATACACTCTACAGGGTACCAATGGATTTAGTTAAAATGGGTAAAGAAACAGTTCTTCCTTTGGTTTTCAAAGATATAACATAAAAACACTGTAACCGTTACATACGTCTTTGTAACATATAATATAAAATGCATATTACATGTACGTAATATTTATATTTATATTACTATGTCCTGCACAGTTACATAACGCTGTTATAAAACGAATAATTACCTTACACATAACATATCGATAACATGTTATGTGTTATGTTAGTATTATACAACTGCATTGAAGACAAATTTCAAACAATGTTACGAAACGGTAATAATTCGATATTATATAATATCAATGTATTCTTTGAATAACTTTCGTTATATACCCTGTGTTATGTAATTGTAATATAGCATGCTTGGTGGGAACGAATCAGAAAGAACCGCAGTAGTATAATGAGTGTTGTCATCGTAGCAGCTAATATGCGTTCATTGCAATAAGTTGTCGGGAAGTTGTCAATGTTCAATTTTATATTTGAGGAAATGTATCTGCAAGGGATCACAACTTTTAATTGAGCAGATAGTTCTTTCATTTTTGTTACACGATCTGTCGAGGATGTTAATGATATCACTTTAGATTAGTAAGAGGACCCAATATCTATGCGGAATGAACCGATTAATCGAGTGATAGGTACTCGACGGAGAGTCACTACCTTTTCCTTATACAACACAAGTGAGAGATGCTGTTCTAAGCAGCTAAAATATTCCCGATCACGAATTGTTGGACATTCTTTAAATTAGCGTGCACTTATACGATTTTAACTATCAAGCGTTTTATCTCGATGACTTTTCGTACGAGTAATTAAGCGTACAGATTATGCTTCTGGTGGTGTAGTTCCATCGAAACCTATCTGCGAATAAAGACGCTGCATTACTCATTACACTTTTTTCTGGATTGATAACTACCTTTTTGTTGTACTTGTGTAGGTTTTCAACGTGTATGTTGCATTTTTACCACGCCCCTCCTTCCTGTTTCTCAAGTAAACTTAATTATAACTGTGATAAATCCTTCGTTCCGTTGCTTTGTACATTTCGCAAGTGCACGCTCGGCAGTGTTTTCATGAAACACTGCTTTCGACATCTAGTATTTTGTTTCAAGAATCGATCATGTTTCTCGTCGCATATAAAGATTTCCTAATACAATTTCAATGAAACTCCCACACTAAGTCATCTCAAATGAGTAATATTTTTGGTACAGTCTCGGTGTAGCGAGGACATACGCATAATAGCTTGTTTTCATACAGTTAATAGCTAAGTATACATGCTTTATCGCTAAATCGCATAGAAATCATCTTTCTACATTAGCAACGTGAATCTCCCGTATCAGTATTGAGTTGTAAATATCTTGTTTTGTAATAGGCTAAAGTAAACATCACAGAAAACAGATTCTATTATGAATTGTCAGATGAAAAACAATTTTTACCGATATCTGTTTTTACGATGTAGAGCCACTATTTGTCGAAAATTTTAATGGATTTTATATCTTGAAAAGCAAATAATTAGATGAAAAATCCAAATTGGAGTTTTTATAATAATTATCGATCTTCTATGGCAACCCAAGGCTATGAAGTTGCCCAAATGTAAATTGTGAACTGGTTTAGATAAATGTAACCAGGCGAGGGTCAATTTTCTCTTAAGGTCGTGCTCAATTACGACGCTGCACGACCTCTTCTTTAGTGGGTTCGAACATGTTGAAACATAACTATTGTACTGGTATCGCATCTTTCCGTGAGTGTACACATCGTTCTCCAGTATTGGCCATTGATTGTGAGTCTTCAGAAATATTGATAGTACGCATCATGAAAACGTCGACGAACCATAATTAACATTCCCGCGGTCCGAAGAGAAATGCTCGATCAGTAACTCTCCGCCTTACGATGCTGGCAAGCTGCACCGGGACTATACTTCGTTCGACGACCGTTCAGGTACTGTTTTTAGAACCTTTTGACATGAAAACAAAATACTGTACATTATTTATTCGTCAATATTCATTAATAAACAAATCGAAATAAAAACCAATATTGTTTTCATAATCTGCAGTAAATACATTTAAAATAAGTTTATACGATCTCGCATTATTTTACTTTCAGCTACGTGAACGCTCAAAATTTAATAAAAGGATTAATCCTTCGGCGCGCTTAAAAACTACAAAAACAATTCCTGCTGTTCCAGAATCTGCAGATGTTGTGATAATCGGTACGTCATATGGTTTTTACTCATAAGATTTATACATATTATTATTAACAGATTTTTTTTACAAACCATTTAAGATCCAGTGTTCTTATTTGCTGTGTAAATATTTGTTTCTTTTTTTTTTTTTCTAAGACTTGTAATAAACATGGAATCTCCCATGCAAGTCGGAATGTAACTGTTGTATACAATATTTGAAACGTTCGCAGGTGGCGGCAGCGCAGGATGCAATGCTCTGTACCACCTAACAAAATATGGTACTAAGGCTGTACTCCTTGAAAGGGCTAAATTAACTTCAGGCACAACATGGCATACCGCTGGATTATTGTGGCATCTACGTCCAAACGATGTCGAGGTTGAATTGTTACGCGCCAGTCGAAACACTCTCTCTGACGTAGAGAAAGAAACGGGCATGGATCCAGGGTGGACCAAAACTGGAGGCTTGTACCTCGCGCGTTCCGAAGTAAGATTATATTTGCGTAAGTCTTGAAGTTATATCAAAATGTCAACTAGAAAGTCAATACTTTATGAAACTTTTCACCAAACTGGATGTATCAGTGGAAATTTTGCCACGTGAATACGAGTGTCCTAAAAAAGATCCTGATACCCATGAATTTTAATTTTGTATAAAAATGTTTATAAACAAATTAAAAAAAAAAGAAATTTCGTAGATGTCAGAAGCTTCTTTTAGGCCTTCAGATTTACGTAGTAATATTTCAAACGATTTGATACACCCAGTTCAATGAAAAGTTTCATAAATGAGATCCCTCGCACGCCATATTCGTATCAGGTTAATACACAAAATGAAAGCAAGAAAATTTAAGACGGTTAAGAAAGAGATTAAGATCTGCAGATATTTTGAGTATTAACAAATTTGTAGAATTTGGTTGTGATTTATTTATCTAACCAAATTTTTAAAAGGCTAGGGACCAGTCAAGTCAGTCTCAAAATACCTTATGTACTGAAAATGCCTAAAAACAGTTTATTTTCACGGCCATAATAATATTTACATGATAACAACATTAGTATATTCCAGTTACGACTGGAGGAATACTCGAGATTAGTGACCTTTGGAAAAGGATATAATATAGAAGCGCGTCTACTTACCCGTCGTCAAACAGTGGATTTATTTCCTTTATTAGACGATAATGCTATAATAGGTGCAATGTACGCCCCCGAAGACGGAGTCATTGACCCTTCTATGATGACTGCAGCATTAACGAAGTACGCCACTACTCATGGATCAACGGTGATTATCGTTATACTTTGCAAAACAAATTAATATCACTCAATTTGAACCTAACATTTACTTATACCCTTGTGCTTGTATTTCCTTTTACACAGGTCATTGAAGAGTGTCCAGTAACAAGAGTGTTGATAGAAAAGAATTCGTTCGAATCTGCTAAAGTTTGCGGAGTAGAAACACCTTATGGAGTTATTCGAACTGATTGTATACTAAATGCATCAGGCGTTTGGTCTAGAAGAATTGCAAAAATGGCAGGGGTAGATATTCCTTTAATTCCCATGAAACATGCTTACGTTGTATCAGAATCTATAAAAGAAGCGCAAGGTTTGCCGAATATCAGAGACCATGATGGTAGCGTTTACATTCGACCGCAAGGATCATCACTTTGTTTGGGAGGCTATGAACCAAATCCTATCATCTTAGAATCGGTACACTGCTAATGTATGGTATATTTGAGTAATTTTTATATATTAACTTAATGAAGAATTTATTTGATGTTGACTAGGTCCCCAGAGATTTTACGTTTGATCTATACGATTTGGATTGGAACGTATTTAGTTTCAATATGAAAGCATTGCTACAGCTTATACCTAAACTATCTACAGTAGGAATAAAGACTACAGTGTGTGGCCCAGAGAGTTTCACGCCGGATCACAAACCCATAATGGGTATATTTTTTAGGAATGAAACATAAGTGCATATTGAATATTACTAATTTTCTTTTATTCTGCAGGGGAGGATCCTAATTGTATAGGACTTTTTTATTCTTGTGGATATAACAGTGCAGGTATGATGTTTGGAGGTGGTTGCGGAGAACAAATTGCCCAATGGATAATTCATGGTCGTCCGGAAAAGTATATGTTCAATTATGATATCAGGAGGTACAAAGGACGAGTGCATATAAATGCCACGCTTCCATTGCGATTTAACATATGACTAGCTATTTTTTGTTCTGCGTGTAGATTTAGTTTTGAACAAGCAAAGGACATGATCTGGGCAAATGAAAGGTCCCACGAATCGTATATGAAAAATTATGATATCATCTTTCCACATGATCAACCGTTAGCAGGTAGAAACAATAAGAAGGGAGCACTTCACAACGTAAGAATCCTCAATTGATGATTTACTACAATTAATTAATAAATATACACAAAGCTTCACCTTTTAAAAAGAACTTTCTGCTCTATGTAAACAAAATTTTAGTAATTGCAATGAATATATTTCAGGAGCTTATTAAGTCAGGTGCAGTGATGGAAAATAGTCACGGATGGGAAAGACCAGGATGGTTTTTATTGAAAGGAACCGCTGACATTTTACAATATGATTACTATGGTAATTACGGAACGTCCAAAACGGAGAACTATAATTATGCAACGATAATTGAAAAAGAACGTACGTTTGATTTTCCGGAACACCATGAGATTGTAAGTTACTGTGTTTAATTATTTTATATTATATATATATATATTACTGTAATTGTTTTATGATTATTTATAACAATTTCATAGTTGAAATATCATATTCAATGCAATTGTCAAGTTATAGAAGGAGGCTTTGTCTTTATTGTGACATGTTGAACTTGATCTCATTTTTTAGTTCAAAGTTTCAAGCAATAATATTGTGTATTAGTGTTTCTGCGAATCCCAAAAGTATGGATGAACTTTATTTTAGATTAAACAAGAAGCATTAGCCTGTAGAAATCAAGCAGTTTTATTCGATATGTCATCATTAAGCAAGTTTTATCTTTGTGGCCCACAAGTGCAACAAGCAGCAGAGTATCTTTTGATATCTACTGTACCTGATAAAATTAATAAAGCATTGTATAGTTGCATGTTAAATAAACATGGTGGTATTGAAGCAACTTGCACAATTATCTCTATTGCACATGGTTCTGGCGGAGTTTTAGATCCTGTATTTAAAGGAAAAGCAATGTACATTGGTATGTTATAACCCGGACTCAGATTTTAATCTAACATTTCAAACGTATTTCTTCTATTTAAGAAAAATTATTTTGTCATAAATATGTCACAAATATGAGAACAAATACATTTTAAAATATCTCATTTCAGTTTCAGATGGGGCGACTAGATATCATATATGGGTGCATATAAGAAAAATAATAAAAGAGAAAAATTTTCAAGTTACATTACACGATGTTACAGATCAAATTTGTGTACTTTCGATACAGGGTCCTAATAGGTAAAAAATGTTTTCACTAAAGCTAGGAATAATAATCGTGAAGAAATTTTTGATTTACTAATATTATTTACATTTTTTGCAGTCGAAAGATTCTAGAGAATGTTGCAAATATACATATGTCGAATGAAACACTTCCCTTCATGTACTCATGTTTAATTAATCTGAATGGAACATTAGTACGCGTTATTCGAGTTAGTTTCGTGGGTGAATTAGGGTTTGAACTGCATGTTCCAATAAATCGTTGCAAAGATATTTACCAACTTTTAACGGATAGTGGTAAAAAATATGGTATGAGACTTAGTGGATATAGAGCTCTTCACAGTTTAAGCAGTGAAAAGGGTATGTTTTTTTTGGTAATATAGGTACAAATAACAGTCGCATATGATTGATATTTCATTTCTATACACGCGGAAAGCACGCGGAAAAAGCTGTCTCCAAGGTATTCCGCGTCGATTCGCGCGCACAAAAATAAGGCATAAAACGTAATATCAAGTGTCGTAATCAAACAAATATCAAATATATACAGAATATATACTTTATTCATTTTTTAGGGTATCGATTATGGGGTTATGATATTAGATCAGATGACAATCCAATTGAAGCAAACCTTAATCATCTTTGTAGAGTAAAAGGCGATTATCTAGGAAAGGCCAAAGTTGATAACTGCATTAAAAATGGACCAAGAAAACAATTAGTTCAACTTTATATTCAAGAGTATGTCCATAATACATTCCATAAAAATAAGTTCAAAGTACTGATAGTCTAATTTATTTTTTAGCAACATTCCCTTATGGGGTTTAGAGACAGTGTATAGAAATGGAGAAAATATTGGATACATAAGAAGAGGTGACACGGCTTTCTTTTTGGGCAAAACAATTGGTCAAGCGTAAGTAGATAGTTTTAGTATTATATGGGTTCATATTTATTATTCTCTTTTTTTCTAGATATTTAACACATCCTACAGGTGGTATGATAACAGATGATTTTTCGAAAACTGGAACGTACGAAATTGAAATTATGGGGAAAAAACATGCAGCTGATTTGCATAATCAAAGTATATTCGATCCTAAGAATAAACGGCTACAGGGCATATATACCTGATAAAACTGAAAAATTCTAATATATGTCTTGTTTTGTAAAATAATCATTTACCGATGAGATGATCAGCATTTTTAATGTTTATTACAAATTTGTATTTTGATCAGTACAGAAACCTATTTTGCAATTTTATATTACAATGTCACCATTATTGACTTAAAAGTATCTTTTTACATTGTCCCTGTACTCATTACTGTATTATTATAAACAATAAATCTTTTAACCTGCTAGTGGATTTGCATGTACTGTAATATTATTTATCCTTGTATCATTAAGTGGTTTATAATTCTTTGGATTTACTGGTAATTTTTCTAACTGCTCCAAAGTGTCTAATCCATCTATGACTCTAAAATTAATTTGTTAGAATTAATATATGAGTAAATATCACGTTCCACTATAAATATGAACATTATATATTGCATCAAATAAAAAATTAGTACTTACTTTCCAAATAGAGTGTATTTTAAGTCTAGATGTGGTTGTGCAGCATAGGCAATAAAAAATTGACTCCCATTTGTATTCGGCCCATTATTAGCCATAGAAACAAGTCCTCGAGCATTATGCTTCAATTCTTCTTTAAATTCATCTTCAAACTTGCGATTCCATATCGAAGTACCTCCTTTTCCAGTTTGAGTAGGATCTCCAGTTTGTACAATAAAGCCTTTTATATTACGATGAAATAAGCAATTGTTATAATAATCACTGGCACACAAAGCCAAGAAATTCTAAAAGAAAAAAATTTTTGGTCAAAGTCATATAAGTTTACTAATAAATATAACCAAGTAATCAAATCTATGTACTATGTATTATGTATTCCTACAAACAAGTTCCATCATATTGATAAAAAAGATTTTAATTGTTGCATATGCATTATAATGTTAAATAAAATATATAAAAATGTAAAATTGACCTAATAAACCATTGAATGAAATAGACATCTTTACCTCACAGGTTTTTGGACATAATTCACAAAACAGCTCTATTTTCATGTCACCAACGTCAGTATGTACTGTCACACTCTGAAAATTAAAAAAACATGATCAATTTGGTATTTTATATAACAACGTTCATTAATCAGCATCTTTAATTTCGTTATTACATACCATTTTCAAATAATCTATAAGTAAGAAAGTAAATAGAAATTGCGGTACAGATACGTCACGTCATTCTTAACAGTTCTCGTCCATTAACCCGCCGCGCGGAGACGCCATCTTGAATTCTAACCGATCACAACGTTGTTCAAGTTAAATCTGGAGAATATCAAAATGTAGAGATTTTTAGCATTCGCATTACGAAATTAAAACGCTGCCTGAAATAGAAGGTTGCATGTCCAACTAATCTAGAGAATATCTTCGGCATTTTAAGAACGTGGAGAAAGGCTGCGGTAATATAAGTTGATAACATGACTCACTCATGCGCAGAGAAGGAATTTCCAAAACGCGTTGCGCAGTTGCCAAGAACGCTCCACTCGTCGCGTAGAAGGAGTAGTAGCCCAAGCTTAGGAAAGTGCGGGGGTTTTCACGGGATTCCTTTGAGGGGCGTCCCTTCTCCAAAAATCAACAGCCAAGGGCCAACGACGCGAGCATTTTGACGTTATTTTGTAGACGGTGGAAAACGATTTTACGGTCATTTTCGGAGTGACAGATTTCGGTGCCTAGGTGGCACGTCTGCGTGAACTAGTCTCCTTGGACGCATGACGTAATTGTATTGATCGCGGAAGAAGAGCCGAAAGTCGCGTATTCGCCATCTTGGAATCGAATCGTGGAAAAGAAGTTTGCGTGGCTCCGCAAGCGCGAGAGTAGACGGTTAGAACTGTAATCCGCGGCGATCCGTGCGTTAAGTAGTTTTACTGGGATCAAACCCGTTTCTCAACTTGAAACCCATTTGGACGGACCAAGGTAAGCAGATATTTCCTCGGCCAAGGACCTCCTACGGGTACTTTTCCTAAGAGTTCCTATGGGTATCCGTTTCGGTTTTTTCTTTGCCTGTGAGGTGAGTCGGAGACGCGCTTCGAAACTGAGTACCGTTACAACAGAGGAAACGATTTCGGCCAAGACTGCGTCACCAGGAAAGCCGTTTCAAAGGGCCCCTGAGAGTTTCTTTAAGGCTAAAGTCATCCTTGTTTTGCTCGCGGTAATTTTTTATGTCGCGATCGAGGGGATGAGTCGGCAAGGATTTTCGTCCTGACCAGACGTTGGCGTCGTTGCTCATTAACCGCGCAAAGGTCCTGCTGCTTCGTAAACCTGTCCGTTCCGACGCTAAGCGTCGTCTTCGTTCCCCGCCCTCTCAACACCTTTAGACCAATTTTCACGGAGCGAACAAAGCTTTTGCTCGCTCTCGCCGCTACCTTTTTCGCCACGATTAATACCAACTAATTTCTTCGAGTCATAAGACCCGTTTTACCTTGGTCACTTGACGATTAAGTCGAATTTACTTTCAAAGCACCTCATATTCCACAATTGTATTAGCATTTTGACAGTTTCTATTTCTACTGCAGCTACAGTGATCCAGAAAAAAAATAAGAAGCGTTGGGATTGTCCTAATTTCATGTTTGTGATCTCTCCTAACGTATAATTTCATTAAATCGTTTAAATATAATTTAGTTATTTTTAAATGTACTTTGTCCTGAACAACCTATAGAATTATTCATACTTTGTATTAAATGTAATGAAATCGATATGAAAACTTATTTAACCAGTTAGTTGAGTTTGACGAGTACACTCATTGTGAAAACACTCGTTTCAAATAGGTTGATGCAGTTAACTGGCTAAATACACTGGTTCTAAATAAGGATCGTCTTTCTCGTGTTCTTAATATTTTGACTCGCAATGTAATGTGGATTATCATATTGAACAATTGATCGTTTCTCTTTATCTTTTAATGCTCTTGCTATAGTTGCTTTGCTAACGTGCCTACAAAAGAAACTTGATTTTTTTTCCATAGAATTGATAGTTCGTCCTACTTTTAAACAGATATATAAATGATATTTAATCGTTTTTAAGCTTCTTTTCTAGATTTATATTGTTCTATATGAGTAATGTATGGAAAATTGTTTAATTCTACTGTGATACTAAGTTTATAAGATTCTATTAACATTAAACCTACCACTGGTGGGTCAAATTGACTGTTTTAAATGGTATTTGTGATGGGGGTATAAATCGTCGGTAGGTTTAGTGTTAAATATATTTTTATCCAACATCAAATTTTCTTTGAATTAAAGGAAAGCATAGGCTTTGCCATATATAATAATTACACGACTTTACCATTACCGATTAAATTTCTTTTTTGATATTGATAGGCTCGGATGGAAATAAAAATATAATTTGTTATGTAAAAGGCACTGTAATTTATTAGTATTTATATTTTTACTTAACAAATAAATGAAAAAAGTATGTCATGAATTTACTATATAACCTGGTGCCACATGATAAGTACATGTTATATAAACTTTGAAAATATTTGTAATTATATTTCCTTTTCAGACAAAGGGTTCGTTCGTTGGGTCTGAGTGGTACTAAATGGTTGCCCGCAGACAGCATGTCTACTCTGTCGGGGATTGTGTCGAAGGGGGAGAAAGGAAAATCGAAGTTTCAGTCATTAGATATCAATAGTTTGTATCGAGTGAGCAGGGTAAGTTAGTCAAAATTGCCAAATATTTTTATGCTAAATCTTATTCTAAGAACATAGTCATGTCTCTGAATTTTTTTAAAAGGGTGAATCTTTGGAGCAACACCAGCAGAAAAGCACATTACCCCGCAAACATGGAATGCAGAGTTTGGGAAAGGTGCCCTCGGCACGGCGACCACCTGCTAATTTGCCCAGTTTGAAAAGTGAACACAGCAGCAGTGACCCGGCAGTTAGTTTAGTACCAAGCGGTGGAAGCGGTTGGGCCACTACTAAGGATCCTGCATCATCGACTACCAGTACTACCACGACTACAGCAACTACACCTTCGGACACTACCACTGTATGTTTTCAATTTTATTAATTATGTGATGAAAACTTTTCTGTGGAACAATAAGTTTTGAGAACAAACATGTTAGAAATTTGTATTTAGTAGAATGTGAATGTACATGTTATTTTAATTTAATCTGTACATATAATATTTGCAATATATATAAAGCTTGTAATGTATCTTCATTGTGATGAGTTATCCTGATTTTGTTTATACTTCTTCAGAATTTAAAAGAATTTGAATCAGAAGAAATGAAATACTTATATTTCTGATTTTTGCATAATTTTTTTTTACGTGATTTAAAATTTTAATTTGATTCAAGACTGATGGTAAAAGTAATAATTATAAATGTATTTATTTATTTTGTAGACCAACGCATCACCGGCACAATGTGCTGCCGGGACCACTCCTGCATCGACCACGCCACAACATTCGTCACTGCCAGGGCAACAAAATACCACACAATCACCACATTCTTCCGAAACCAGCAACAAATCATCATGGAGTGCAATCATGAGCAGACCAGGCGATGTTGGTATGTAAAACTGTTCTTTTCATTTCAGTGATTATACACTTGTACATATTATAGCATATTATATATGCATTATAAATATCAAGAATATTCGGGGCTTATGCCTTAATGTGGAGTGTTATCATATTAAATTATATTGACAATGGAACATCTGTTATGTATTCCATACGACTGTTTTGTGATTTTGTTATGACAAAAGACATGCTACGAAAGATATTTTCATATTTAAATATGCTAGAAAAAGGTTATTTTCGTTAATAAGTACAGAAATGGTTTCAATCACGAATATACTTGATGACATTCTTTTTTTTTTTATTCCCTGGTACTTTGTATTATAAATCAGTGAAATTTTCTACGAAATTTATCAAGGTAAATTTATACGAAATGTGAATTGTTCTACGTTCATCAAAATAATTTGCCGACACATAATGCTCTTGCCAGATAACATGGAATCTTGATTAATTTCGAACATGTGATTACAGCGTTGCGGTGTTAGTAAGTGTTACGCGTCCTCAGAATTACAGTAACTGAGAAGAGTTTGCAAGTATTTAACTATAAATTCTTAAAAAATTGACAAATTTTAAATCTTTTAACATTGCTTCAGTTTAAGGAGCTAAAATTCCTGCAACAGTAATCTCTGTAAAATGTATTGCTGCGATATACGAAATTCAACATGACTTTAAAACTTTGAGAACCTCCTTCAATGCAAATGGAAGTAGGCAATACCGGTAGTTCCAAAATTGCTACACTGCTCACAAAACTGGTTCTAACTATTCAATGGGAGCAAGCTGTTTTTTTTTTCTCCATAAAAGAAGTTAAGTTCTGAAAAACGTCCGGTTATGTCTTATAATGTATGAAATGACATGTCTTATTATGTTATCATTCCCTACTTCTATCAATTTTAAAAAAGAGAACTGAAATTAAATTTATAAACTGCAAAGCTTTTGGTTCTGTCAATGATATCCTACTGCATTTAACCGGTAGGCTGACTCAATCACGAGATTGAAAATCTCTGTTATTGGGTGGCGTCATAACTGCTGAAGGACACAACCAGATAACGCTGTATATTTGAATAGTAAACTACTAATGTGAAGTCTCGATTACTTTTGACCTGGAGTGCAACATGAGTTTTCAATACTTCGTTGAATGTGAAAATGCCTTTTTTCGGCAACACTGAAATGTCGTGTTTCACAACATGTTATAATACATGTAAACAATGGTTAGAAACTGTAGGAAATGAACGTATATACACTGTATAATGCGCCACGACCAAGATAGTTGCACTAGCGATACAGACATGTAATCGTGCTTATTAGGCGATTACAATATATAATTAAATATGCATTTTTGCTAGTAAACATTATTTGTATCTTTAGAACTGTATAAATGTTCACGACATTGCAGATTAACAAAGGAGAATGCAGCAATTCAATTTCACGTGTACAGAAAATATAGTGGAAAAAGTAAATGAAAAATCGTCCCTATAAGGCACTCTTAATCAAATGGGTACAACTTGGAAAAAACAAACGAACTCGTTGTTCTGGGCGCAATTTCATTAACCCGGGGTCTCTCGATGTCATCCTTAACGAAAGGAAAGCGTCGTCGAGTTTCGCTCGCTAACGAATCGCGACCCGACCGCAAACTCTTCCCTTACCGGTCAATTCTGGGGCCCGTGTGCTCCTAAAGCGTGTAATTAAGTCTGTAAGTGTAAGTGAAAAGCAAAGTAAATGTAAGCTTGGGTGGTATCGGCTGGGTGGCGCAATTAATCGATAGGTGGGCCCGTCGTGGCAGCAGTGGCTGGTTACGCAGGGCTTGTAGGGGGCGGGAGAGGGGGACGAGGTGCCCTCGGACTGAGTTTCCTCGCCCATCAGTCCCCGCAGTTCCAACACGAGTTTCCCAGTCTCAGTGGACAGCCCTCCGTCTCCGCCTCCACTCAGAGCCAGACTCAACAGTCCTCGACAACGTCCAACGCGATCTCGGTCACTGTCGAACACCAATCGTTGTTACAGCACCAGGTGTACTCCCACAGCCACTCAGGTGGGACATGCTGCTTCTACCGAGTAGCTGCTAGCTAGCGCAACACTTCTACCCTCCTGCTCTCCAAAGGTTTGCTCAGCCGCTTGGCTGTAGTGGAAGAAACTTCAGGGTTCGCTATTTGGGATGGTGGTCGCGAAGCTGGCAAGACCAATGTCGTCTGAAATTTCTTTCGCAACAACCTCGGCTGAGCAGAGTCGAAGTCCCTTACTGTGCCTACTTCGATCTTACGTACGAGGCCGATCCGGAACGTCGTTCTAGTTTTTATTCGATGTATTAATCGTTCATAGTGGTGTGCCATCGATGAGAACATGAAAGCAGTGAAATGATCGTAAATTGTTATCGGTTATAATTAATGCTATCTATGAAATACTCCAAGAGAAGCACTAAAACTACCAACGGCTGGCATATACCTACATCTACCTGAGGGATCAATATGACTTTTTTGGAAAGAACATTTAAGAAAAAAAAATGAATTTTTCATTTTTTTTTTCTGTTTCGTTTAACGAACGTTAAAAACAAATTTATTTATCTTTAAGATAATTACATATACAATAGCAGTTTTATATGTATAGCATTAAACCTTTTGCGAGTGAAAATCGTTTTGGCTGTACATGTACTGCAAATACTGTTCAATTTATTATTTGAGCAATATTCTATTTGATATCTTCTACGCTTCAGCGAAATATCTGTCCGATCTGTTGTATCTGGAAGTATTAACTCTGCTTTGTTGAGGATCATCCTATTCGATCATTATATTCACTGGCACGTTCATCGATTAATTGTAATAGTAAGTTTTTTCTTGGCACATTTTCTCTAGTGGTTCCATCATATAATATCTAGAAATTTATTGTGGCACAATCTAAAATATTGTAGAACACTTATGAGGGCCATTTTCGAAATTCAGTTTTCATGCTGTATTCTCTAACCTTTTTGTCGATCATGTCTACGCTGAATTTAATATTATTTTAAAACACTTACGTGTAAGTTCTGAAATATGTCTAGTCTTATAAAAGTTTTGGGCTAGGTATATGAAAAGTTGTTAAAAAAACTTCTAAAATCCTCCTGATATCCAAAATTTACCTGTGTTCTGTACCGGTTAAAAATTACCCATCTCGGTATACGAAGGTATACCATATATTAATTTTACACCCCCTCCAAAAAAAAAAAAACTGCTTCATAAAATTAATCATTTATGTACACAAAAGAAATCACCCTAAACTTCAGAAAATAATATACATTAAAAATGAGTATTCATTGTAACAAGTGACAAAAGAAGTCATTTTGACCCTCTTGGTAAATCTGGTGTTAGTCTTATATCGTTGATTTCGAAAATAATAACCTAAAACTTTTGACAAACCTGAATATGTATGGACAAGTGAAATATGTAGATGTAATATTTCTGTTAAATTCATGTTGCTCTTGTAAATGTTTATTGGCTAACTTGCAGTATCTTAAGGAAAGAGCCAATATCGGTTTAAATTGCATATCAATTATTTTTGGAGTCTTGTGTTTTCATCGATGTTTCCCCAAAGAAATCAGAAGTTTCCTTAGAAATCCAAATTCTCTGTTGATACTTGATACTCACTAAGCTGGCTGATAAAACTAAAGTGGGGTTTTATATTTATATCTTGTGATATAATTCATTAAGTCATTCTGAATAAAAAAGATATCGTATAAGAAACCTAACATCGTCTCACATTATGGTACAAAAAGAGATGTGCATAGAGAGGCGGTTTTCTTCGTTATGTTCGAGCAGAGAAGTCGGAGATAAATCGAGGATACTGTACAATACAAGACGCATGCCCCTCTTTATATTATCACATGATTAAGTGAAATGGAAGATCGATTACAGAGCTACTATCGGTTGGTTAGCATTCCGGTTGTTCACCGTCCGTATTCTTCTGAGTTTCTATGGAGACCTCTGAATTCTTTGGTTTGGGCCACTAGCTGTGATCCATAATACGACTCGGTCCTGGAGTAGAAAAGACGAATCCATATTAGAGGTGCTCTAAGTAATGTTCCGGAATGTGTCCCCAGTAGTCTTTGTTGCTTTAGCCTGTCGTACAATTCCCTACCTTATCTTTCTTGTTTCGCTCTTGGTCTTGGTCTTGGATTATATTTCTTACGTACATTGAACCTTTTCATTTCTAATTCTAACGAGCAGAACTAGATCGGTATAGCGTGGTCTTGTCATTAAGAAATGTTAATCTACATGTTAATTAAATGCGATTGTAGGAGACGAAAAGAGACCTAACCTTCGATATCGAGCGGATGCAGCCGTTGGTCCTTCGTTAACTTTCTTGCTATGGTTTATCATTTTCTGCAATCGTACCACCAAATTTTAATATTACGTTTCGCTAATATACCATGGTTTGTATTTAATTTCCTTCATTTCAGGATTTTTGTATCAAGGGAAATGCGTCAAAACTGTCGTACGACGGTCACTGTACTGGTTGCATTTTACCAAACGTTATTTTTGGTTTATAACGTAAAACCGAAAAACCGATCGTTCCGCTGCATTGCAAATAGAGGGAGACCGCTTACTTGCTCGTGCGCTGACAACCACGCGTTTAATTATCCTGAAATGAAAGGAAATTACAATGCCGTCGTTGTCATTGAGTGTCTTTTTATTTCTAGTTTTTTCAACCCTTACAGAATTCCGCTATTATTTGTAGTTTATCGTTCGTTAAAAGTGGTCTTGAATTCGTAGTCTTGCGAGCGATCTTAATGATGCTATCTTAAAACGTATGTACGCAGGAGGTGTAGCAGGTCAACCTCAGCAACAGCAGTCGCAACAAAATCGGGAGACCAACGCACAGTACGGTCCTGGCCTAAGTCTACGACCTCAAAGTAAACTGAAATCCACTTAGTACAAATATTTTGGATTAAAACGCGCGCGCGACCGAGCAAGCTTGTCATTTCCCTTAAGTCGTGAGTTTCCGATGATCGAACCTTGAGCTTACGTGTGTTTCAGCCGAGGGAAGCTGGATCCAAGGTGGCAGTCGTTCAACCAGTGGAACCGGGGCAGCTGGGTCCGGGAGTGGGAGTACTCCGGGGGCCCAGGGCCCCCCGCCCGGAGCCGCCGGATCAGGACACGCCGAGGGACCCGCAGGAGGACGGCCCAACTTGGGCCAGTCGCCAAACATGGCCATGGCCCCGGCAGGCCCGAACGGATCTCAAAACAATCCAGGCCCTCTTCCTTCCGGCCCCCATCAAGCCCAAAACATGCACCATTATCGAGGACTCATTCCTCCATTTGTAAGGACACTTTATCGTGCATTAATATTAAAGTCGCCATAAGTTAATTACCGGTTCCTTTTCTTAAATGCTATGGCTAAGAATATATCAATACTTAACGAACTCGTTGCATTTCCGTTGAAAAAAGAAAAGCAAAAGTAAAACTTCCTAGGACTGTCGCCTTCGTTATCTGCTATGTACTCGGTGTAGTGCACCTTGACTTTAATCTAACTATAATCAATCTGAATCCATAGATGTACAGAGGCAATTTTCCTGGCGGTTTTCCCTCTCAATTTCCACCAAACATTGGCCCTGGAGGACCTCGACCCAGGTTCAACCATCCGCCAGAACGCTTTCCGCCTCCACAACGCCAGCAGGAGCGTGAACGCTTCCCAGGTTCTCTGGATGAGGAAATAATCCCTAGGCCCATTATAAAGGAAGAAGATTTAAGCCGTATGGATGATATCTCTCGCGACGCTGGCTGGGCAGCACACGACGACATCGATTACAATCAGAAATTGACCTTCAGCGACGACGAACCGGAACCCGACCCTCCGAAAAAGGAAGAAAAACGGGATATCAAAGATGAAAAGTCCGTGGAGATTCCCCCAGAAGACAGAGAAAAACCAAGGGAAAATCGCGATAGAGATTCGAAAGATGCTCGGGATCAATCTTCTCATCGTTCTTGGAACCAGGCTCCTCCCCTCTCTGGGCCACGCGATTTCCGTGGGTCGAATGGCCCCTCCAATTATTCCTCGCAACAACAATTGCGTTCTACACACCCTCTTAAGGGTAATTAATTACTGTATTTCTAATTGCGATGATATTCGGGGTATCTACGTTGTTGGAACGTTCTTTAAAACCTAACACCGCCTTTGTTATTTTGAAAAAGAATTACATTCAAATTTTAATGATTACAGGCATCTTGAATCTGCATGGTGTCAGGTGTAAATATCTAATTTTCAATGTATCCTTTACAGCTGTCGAGGAGGAGGAGATATGGAATCAGAGACGTCGGGAACAAGGCGAGAAGGTGGCATCCGCTGTCGAACGAGCTCGCCAGCGTAAAGAAGAAGAAGAGAAGCGATTCCAGGAGTTGACTAAGCAAGCAGCGAACAAGAAATTACACGATTTAGAACAAAAGTTGAAGGAAAAGAATCAGGCCAAGCAAAAGGAAGAGGAATCCAACACTACAGCCGAATCGAAGTTCATGATCAGTGTTCCGCCCGTGCCCATTCCCTTACCCGAGTGGGAACGTGAGAAAGAAAACAGGGAACGGGAAAGTCGGGAAAGAGATAAGCCTCGCACAATTTCCGAAGGAAAAGACGAAAAACCCAGTAACGAATTTCGCCATGGACCGGCGCAACCCGATCGACCAGTGTTTAACAGACAGCAAGATGCTCCCCACGCAGAGCGTGATCGCGAACGGGATCGAGATCGTGATCAAAGGGAGATGAGAGACCGTGACCGTGACCGCGACCGAGACCGTGAGCAGTCGTTTTCTCGTCATTACCACGCCAACTTACCACCTAGGCTTCAAAAACAGCAGGCAGAAAGAAGCGGTTCCGCGTACAATCGAACTTCGCCCAGCACGGAAAGACCTCCCTCTCAGTCCGCCTCCTTCTCGCAACAATATGATCCTGCCAAATGGGCTAATTGCAATCATTCTGGGCCGTTGAGTAAGTAAAGTAATACAATAGTTTTACTTCATAAAATATTGTAATGTATATTTTGAAATAGATCACTTTTATTTACAAAGTTAGTTCTGAAAAATTCATATAAGCATACCCTGTCGATAATTTTTTGGTTTAAATTATTTTATTACATTTGCGAAGAATGTAACAATGTACTTAAATTCTCATTACCTTCTAAACGAGGAGGATTTGTTTATATTTTTAACGGTGTTGTGACGAATTAACAGGTAGCGGCATAAAATCGACGCACCCGGCGCCACCACCACAACGCCGCAGCAGGACTGACTCTGATGTGTCCAATCCGGTAGATGAAGAAAGATCTCCTTCCCGAAGTCACCGTGGACCACCCCCTAGAGATGAGCGTTATCGTCATTCAGTGCACAGAAACTACGACAGTCGCAAGGCCAGCGGCTATCATGATGACTATAATCGTGGTTACAGAGAATACGAATACGACGACAGGCATGGTCGCGATTCTTGGGAAAGAGAAAAGCACTACGACGATAAGGAACGCGATGCTAGAGAATCTCGTGACGCTAGAGATGTCCGTGACACAAGGGATGCCCGTGATACTAGAGATGCTCGTGATACCAGAGATGCTCGGGATGCCAGAGACGTTCGCGATGTTAGAGACAACCGCGACATCAGAGATTCACGCGACAGGGATAATCGAGATAGTAGAGATAGTAGAGACAGTAGAGAAAGCAGAGAGAGCAGGGAGAGCAGGGATGGTAGAGAAAACCGAGAAAACCGAGAAAGCAGAGAGGGCAGAGAGGGCAGAGAGAACAGAGAGGGTAGAGAAACCAGGGAGAGCAGGGAGAGCAGAGATAATAGAGACAAAAAGGACTACGATAATTACTCTAAAGTAAGTATCTCCTTATACCAATTATAGTTTTTCCATGACATATTTTTTTCCTGTTGTGATCCTTAATTTATATTTAATCCATGATCATAAAGCCATTTAATCGTAAAAATTGCTATTTTACACAAATGCTGCATGTCTCGTTAACATTTTAAGCTATTAGTTTTATATTTACTCTGTAATTAATGCATCGGTATAATGTAGCAGGAATCCTTCGACGAGCGCGAGCCAATGAGAGAGCGCCCGGAAGCTACCGAATGGCGAGAAGAGCGTGCTCCCCTGGATCGGCAATCCGACAGCAGGCGTGACATCAACTCCAGAGAGGATCGCGCCGAGAGAAGCGAGCGTCCCCAGAGACCGGACTCGCGAGATAGTCGTACTTCCCGCGAATCGAGAACGTCTCTACGCGACGACGATTCTCACAAGTCTCGCGACACCGGCTTGTGGATCAACGACATCCCTGACTACGAGGAAAAGAAGCGAGACATATACCGCGAAGATACCAGAGAAAGGGAGAGAGATCGAAGGTGCCCGCCAGGCCCGGTGACCAGAGAAAAGCTGGAGGCCGACGAACCCAAGGGAGAAAAGCGAAACCTGACTCAATTAAAGCGTGCCAACTCGGAGGTGGAAAAGAAGGACCTCGCGAAGGATATGCCTTCAATGGAGTCAAAGAAGGAAACCGACACGTGGAACAGGAAAATGGAACGTACCCCGGAGAACAGTAGAGCTATCGACAGAGGCAATTCCCCGAAGGCTTGGGCAGATGCCGTCTCACCTACTTTTGAAAAGGAAGAAGAGAAACTACTGGAGCCCATTAAAGACGATAAAGACACGTTGGATCTGAAGCAGAGCATGGAGAAGTTGAGCCTGGACAAGAGAGACGACGTCCTTATCGAGGAGAGCAAGGAAGAGACTAAGGACGAAAAGCGAGAGAAGAACATACGGAATAGGACGAACAGCGGCGGCTCAAGAGGACGAGAACCTCGCGGTGTACGCCCGTGGGGTGGCGGCTATAACGTCGTGTATCACCGCGCGTGGCGTGGTCCAGAGTCCAGAGGACGACGCGGTGGTTCCAGATCTATGGCGAGACCAGGATCTGCCAGGAGTGGATCTTACGGGCATACGGATTCCGAGATGAGCGGCGACGAGGTCTCGGGATCTACCGAGTCGGGAAAGGAAGAGAGGAGATCCTCGGTCAGATCGCCAAAGCTGTCGTCCCAGAAGCTGGAAAAGGACGACCGTAACCGGGAGGCCTCGCGGCGCGAGGAGAAGAGGAGCGAGTACTCTCAATCACGCACCGAGAAACGAGGATACGACAGCAGGTCCAGTCGAGAAGGATTCGCGCCCTCGGGGGAACCCTCCCGTCGGGGACGAGGGGGGTTTCGACTTCGTGGCGCCACAACTGGAGGTCGGATGGAGGGATACGGACCTCCCCCGAGCAAGAGTCCATTTTCTTCCGAGCGAAGCACAGAGGAGAAACAGGGTGCCGGCCGTCAGGGCTCGCCTACGCCTGCCTCGGAGAACGACGCGAACGCTCTCCCCGGTCAACAGGAATCGAACGACGATAAAATCATAGCAAAGCAGCAGGCGCTTACGGCTGGTATCACCGGACGACATGCAAAGTCACCGAACCAGTCGGCCCAGCAAGGCGGTGTCAAACAGGACGCTGGTCACCTGAATTCGGGGCATGGTGGTCCGTTGTCCAGGTCGCAGTCCAGGAAAGACGAATCCCGAACCAAAAGGAATCACAGTGGAAATAGAAGAGTAAGTTTGAATTAATAGTACCACCTCTTGAGATGACACAGCATTGGGAAAATCTGCAGTTATGTGTTTTTAATTTTTGTATACGAACTTTTGAACGCGTCGTTTATTTCATCTATATTCATATATTGTCCAAAAATATCCGGAAGTCATAAAGTACATTATGAATGTAAATTATATGATAAGAGGTCATACATTTTAACTAGAGCAAATCTTTCTACTTCGTGTTTGATATTATGTTTTATTCTTACGTACATAATTAGCGAACATTAGTTCTTATTCTAGAATGCTATAAAGTTTAACTAAAATGCATTTAAAAAATGTAATAATGTCGGATGTGAAAATCTGGCAGATCGTGTGGCATACAGTACGGTAGTCAAGATTTTCTCGATTCTGAGTTCATTCATTAAAATAGCCTATATCTGGAGAAATATTAAAAAATATGTTTAATTCACAGGGACGAGACAGTCGCGAGGCCCGGTTTCGTAGTGGCGGTGCCAATATCACGAAGCAGAACTCTTCGGACGTAGGTAACGAGGATTGGGAAACGACATCCGAAAACAGCGAGGAGCAAATAGACGATCGAAAGCCTTCCCGCAGCCACGGGAAGTCGTTGTCGAGTCGCGGAAGCCAGAGTGCTAACCAAAACTCAGTGAGCAATAACTCACAGGCACGTAAAAGTGAGCAATCCGTGAATAATAGGGAGCAACGCGACAAGAACTTGAAGTCTTCCAATGCATCCTCGCGAGCGCCCGGAGCGGAGAAACGCAACGTGCAAAACTCTACGTTCAACAGTCAACGAAGTCATTCCGGTAACATACCACCCCTAATGCAAACCAGTCAGACTCAAAACGGCCGGCCGAAGAGTCAAGGTTCGGCTAACGGTGCCTCGATTTCAGGAAAGCCCGTTAAGGAGAGCACGGTCAATCGCGTCGATGAAATCAAACTGAACGACCCCAGCTTGGTCAACCAGGCTATCAACGACATCAACAAGAAGGTTCAAGCCAAAGAAAAGAAAACCGTGGACGGCGATGCGGAGGTCAACAATTATTCTGGGGGAGACGAGGGAAGCAACGTCGCCGAAGACAAAATGGACTCTGACGGTTTCCAGGAGGTGCGTTCTAAGAAGAACGTCAAAGAATCTAGGCACAGCCAGAAGGACGAATCCAAGCCACCGAGACGAGAAAAGGAAAAGGACAGGGAACGGGACAGATCCAAGTCTAAGTCGAACGGCCCACAACCGACGCCTCAGCAGGTTCAAAACATCCCGCCCTTGTTGGGTCAGCCAATAGCTCAGCCGACGAACATGCCTCAGAAACAGTTCGACAGGAATACGAATCGCCAGAAGTTGGCACCAAGATTTGCCAAACAGAAATTGGCCAAACAGCAGCAACAGATGACAGGAGGAGACTCGAACGATTCGGGTAAAACGAGCAACTCGACGAGTAACTACTCAAAGGACTCGTCCGGTGGTCCTGCACCACCTCCATCCGTCAATGCCTGGGATAAGCCGTTTACCAGCCAGCTGCGGTCCAACTCACCCTCGGCGGTACCAGCCGATATACAGTTGATGTCAGGTCTTACCGGACAGACCGATCATATACACGAAGGCAATGAACAAGCTAATTCTGGAAACAGCAGCCAGCGGAACTCTCCTAGTGGTGACAAACCCGGAAAGTCTACAAAGGAACCTGTCGGAGAAAAGAACGTGTCGGACTCGTCGTCGCCTCCGGTACAGACGTTGATATTCGAGAACACGAATTACTCGAAAACCACGAAGACTGGCCCGTCTGATCTTGCTACGAAGAATAAATACTCGAATCACATAAAGAGCCAGGGAAGGACGGACAAACGAGGAGAAATGGAAGAAGACAGCAACCAGCTGCAACATCAACAGCAAGCGATGTCCGTAGCTTTCTCGAACAAGCCTAATGAGCTGATCAAGGACAAGTCTCAGGAGCCTATACAGATGCCGCTTTCCTTTAATAAGAGCGAGGACAACGCCGATATGAAATTGGATTTTACTTTCGATTCGGATCTTTCTCAGCTGACCGACGACAAGAGCAAGAGCCTCGGTATGCCCCGATCCATGCACATGACCGGCGGGCAAAGCACTATCTCACCATCTACGGCGGAGTTGAACTTGAAGATCGCCTCCGTGAAGAAGGTCTGGGAAAATGCCCCGCCCATGCCTACGGTGGTTGAGCACGAAGACGGAAACGTGGTGAGCACCGCCAACAGCTTCCCCCAGGCCTTTGAAAGCGGCGACGTCGACGACAGTTACAGCCCTCATCAGCAATACAACCAGGGCAACATGAAGAACGAGATCACCACTTCCACAAATGTATGCAAGGTGGGCATATATTTTTTTAGAGATTGTAACTACTCATCACGCATGTGCAAGCTATAACATCACTAGAAATTGACCCAAAATTATCTACCGTGAACGCGACCGCCTCTGTCTATTTCGTGCATTGCTTTACCTAACGCTTTCCATGCTTATTGAATTGGACATTTTTCTTTTACTTGTAGATTTAGCCATCTATTTGCTACTGCTAGAGCACGTTCAATCTTTGGTTTAGTAGTTAAGAAAATGATTGTACGGTTTATTTGAAATCGAATTATAAGGTGGCCAAAATATGAGATGAAAGGTCCCTTTTTCATAGGGTATTCCAAAATAGAGCATCAATCAAGTATTACTTCTATTTTCTGAGATACAGAAAACCATTAACGTAAATTTTTATAATTCCGGTTGCTTAAAGACAAATATTTGAATTTAAAAGATTCTCAATATCTTGAGTTAGAATACTAAAATGCACGAAAGTAAGGTCAGTGGCTAACACGACTTAATCCTTTTTTGCCTTGAGAGCAACCCTTTCTACTTGTAAACAAAAAAATACCAGATCTGGAACCTTTCTTTCCTCATTGACAAGACTGCTCGCCTTTATTCCAGAAATTAATTTTTCAGCCTATTGTAAGTAAAATAGCAGGCTTATGCGCGAGTAGAGGTTGGGAACATTTCTCTCTATCTCTCTCTCCGATCATTTTTTCTTCTCCGAGATCTTCTTTCGTCAGCTCCTTTTCTCTATCTCTCTTGTGAATATTCGGTGTCCCGAGGAAAATAAGGATCGGTTAAAGGCAGTTGATAGTGATGTTAATAGCTGAATAAATTATGAAAATACCATGTCCCCTGTGGGAAGATGCTGACTCTTTGCCTGATGCGCAGCTGGTTCCCCCGCAGGTGAAGCCGCAGCAGCAATCCTCGGGCACCGGTGGCCCCCAGCCGGGGTCAGCCGTTCCCGGGCCTAGTCCCATAGGACCTGGACAAAGTCCCATTGGACACCCCCCGGCGAGTCTTCAAGGCCCTCTTAGCCCGCCCCCCTTCAATTCAACTGGACAGCCTTCTCACATTAATTACCAGGTAAGCTAAGTCGCCCTAATTATAGCTTTAATGCAGAATGTAATTGGATAAAAATAACAAGTCCTAATTATAACACATTTTTTTGTATCAGGAGTTCCCGCAATACCCCGGATCCCAGGCAGCCCAGTATGGAAGCATGTCTGCGATTCCATCGCCACCGGCGGTGCTATTCAACACTGGCTCCGGTCAACTACCAGCCCAAGCAAGTGGCCTCTACGGAGCTTTTCAACTGGATCAGAGCCGGTCCCCCTTCACGCAGTATCCTCCTTACGCTCCGTCCCTTCAAAGTTCATTCAACCAGCAGAACGTCTATTTGCAACAACCGCCACCTCCGCCGCATGCTCCAAATGCGCCGACGCCTGACATGTATCAAAGCAACTTGTCACAGTACAGAATCGTTAGTATTTTATTATTACTTGGTTATATCGTTTAATGCCATTATTAGGATATGTTATAATAGCACTCTACATCTGACTCGTACATCATTGTGTATTTTTATATATTTAAATTGTCATAGCCAAAGTAAATTCTCGTTTCTATCGTAGATTATTTTAACAATGAAATTCATTGTGAATTAATATTTCAAATTGATACTTGAATTAGTACTCGAAATTAATAGTATTACTCAAGGACAATCTGCGTGTACTTTTAACAGACTGCTGCTGCTGCGCCTCCTTTCGCACAGAATCAACAGTTGAGCAACAATCCGAACACGGTCCTGATCAGTTCGTCATCGAATTCTTTAATGTCAGCAAGCGTAAAACCTTCGTCACAACCGATCGGTGCTATTGGCACAAAAGCCCCGCATTACCAAGCGGCTTCAGCACCTCAACCGAATCAAGTATACTCGTCTACTGGTCTTATTTAATTGTTCAAATTAAAAACTATTTTCTTAAATGAATTTTCTTTTCAGGTGGCATACATTCCTTACGATCCCAATCAAGTATTGGGCGTAAGTGGCAGCTACATGGGTAATTCTCAACTTGTTCAAAGACCAGGTCCTAGCGTACAGCCTTCGGCAAATAGCTACTACAGTGCTACATCTGCCGGTAAATCGAATTACTTTTATCAATACATTTAGTTTACTACTTTCTGGTTAATTATTAAAATTTACCAATAGAGAAAAGGTACAAGTATCGCGTTACGGCTCACGTTCTGGTTTTTAGAGATCTTTCTATTTAGTAAATGTGAACATCAAATTGAATCTATTTTGCAGATGTATTCCCTGGATCGCAAACTGGTTTTTACCAACCTGGCGGTGCAGCCCAACAAACAGGAACTCATTATGGTCTCCAAGGTTTTGGGACACATAGCCAAAGTTTGGGTACAGGCAGTGCCACTCCTGTACTCCAGAACTTTAACTCCCAGTTTCTATCGAATTCAGGATTGCAAATTGCTGCGGCAGCTGCAGCACAGCAATTTCGTAATCCTAATGGAGGTTTACCCGGCCCCGCAAATGCGGCCGCTACGTTTCTCAGCAAACATCAACAACAAGAGCAACCTAGACAATTGAAGAGTCCTTCGGGAAATCAACAAGATGTGCTTGCATCGGTTTTTAGCTCAAGTGAGTATATCAATTTCTCATTTTTGCGTGTTAATTAAATTTAAACACCAATAGTACAATTTTTGAAAAATTGGTGGTCATGCATTAATTTTGCTTTAGCACCACAAATTCCGTCGCCAAAGTCACGGAATTGTAAGCAGCAAGCAGCATCGCAACAACCACAACCAAGTCCGACGCAGCACCATAAATACCAACAATATCAGGGCGTTGGTCAGTCTGCTCTGGTAAGCAGCTACAATAACTATGTATGTACCATTTATTGATTCATTTACTTTTAATTAATATACTTAGTTTAGTGAATGCTTATTACTTAGAATTATATTATTACTGCCTGGTTCTATCTTGACCGAATGATGTAATTTTTATTTTAATTAATCTACGTTAACACGATGAATAATTACATTTTTAGTTCACCGGTTTAAGTACATACACGCTATAATTAAAAATAGATTTAAAACTATATGATTTGAGGGGTGAGTAATTAAAGAGGATTCCGTGTTATTTCAAGGTCCTTCAACAAAATGTACGTGGAATGGGCATGCCACCTCGTGCCGGCATTCAACCATCGCAACAACGTTATCCACCTCCGATTCAAAGGCCGGTGGTGCCATTCCCACCAGGTCCAAACCCAAATAATCCAACACAACAGCAACCAAATTGCATGCCGACTCAGCAACAAACTCAAATCAATCGGCACAGGCCGAACATGCATCAACAGCAACAGCAACGCAATATGAAAATGCAACAACAATATTACTCCGGACAAGGTTGGTACGATTGCCATTATTCTTTGTAATACTCCTATACTACTCTCACGAGCGGTAAAATAATTTGCAAACCGTGTTAATAATGTCATCCCTTATTATCTGGCAGGTAACGTTAAAATGGATTCTAGCGATAAGAATGATTCACACAGTGATAAGATTACGGACGGCGGCTCTGGAAACCAAACCGTAGGTAATAAGTCCAACGTGAATCAACAGGACGGCGACAGCAAGGAAGAAGTAAACCAGCAAAATGAGTAAACGTCGGAAAACGTCGTTTCCAAGATGTGCGAACTTATTCATTGATTCTAAACGATGACTTTAAAACTACAAATTGAGGCTACTTTAATTAAAACGTGAGCGATCAATTTCAAGGGCTGTCCTCTTCGAGAGCGTCGTAGACCGCGCAAATAATCAATTTTCATGCACGCTCAATCACTCTGGTCATGACCGTGTTAACTTTTTACGACCGCCGAGCGTTTTCTTTTTTCTAATGAAAACTACGATAGAGCCTCTGGCGAGACACATTGGAATGAAAAACTATAATAACTTATGCAATCATCTGATTTAACAAAAGTGTGATCTTAGTGGACACTTCGAAACGTTAACGATGATCACATCTCGGAATATAAAGACAAAGACATTTGAAAAGGCGATGTAGCGTTCTACGTTCCATCTCGTGCGTAAAAATGACTATTAGTGCGAGGCTCGTCAGGCCTCCAAAAAAGTGTATTCCATACGAAAAAAAAAAGAGCATCTAACGGAACGAATGTCCGTAACTCGTCGCGATTGCAATTACGAGGCGTGCACTCGAGACGAAAGCGTGGATCACCGGAATGTGCCTCGGCAAAGTGCACGTACTACTTTCGAGAAGGGAACGAATAAAAGAAATTGACGCGCATCGATGCGACGATCCGAATAATTCGCGAAGCAGGAAAGTGAAAACCCTAGGCATCTGGAAAAGACTGTTATCAGTGCTCAAACGTATGGCTCATTGACGCGAAAAAGAAGGATTTATCGGAGAGATCTGCCTTGAATCAGCTAAGAGACTTTCGTGCCCAAGGCGCTAAAACGGTAGATTTTTCATCGCACGTGTTTATAATGGAAGTGCGATCTCGATACATGCAACGAGACGAGACTAATCGGTCAAATAAGAGCAAGACGAAAAGTGCGAAGGGGGCGCGATCACACACAAACACACACACGGTGTTTTATGGATTGGTACGACCTCGATATTTGTTAAAAGTACTAAAATCATTAGCATTATGTATTTAAAACGAAAAAAAGTGCCGCACGTGTCACGGAGGATCGCGCATCGGTGTACCGAGACTTCGCATGCGGCTAGGAGTCCCCCTGTATCGGATTAAACGCGTATACATATATAATCTCGTTATGTCGCTAACGCGCGAATGAATACCACGAATGAATGAATTGTATATTCCCTGCTTTTCGTTGCAGATCTCTCGAGTTATTATAGACGAAATGATAACGAAGCTTATAAAAATAAACGCTAGTGTTTACAAAATGAAATCACGATTACTTCGTCGTTCGAGGATCGATTCTTCGGCGTGGCTCAGGGTGCGGCTCGCGTTCGTAAGCCCCTTTGGTCGGACTCTCTTAGTCGGACACGAACCGTAAAAAGAAGACAATTATCGGAGGATCATTCACACCATGTACTGCCAGTCGTCCGAGACGACAAAAACTCGAGACGTTTTTCCCTCGATTCGTGAGTCACCGAGGTGCAACCGGGGTCGAGGAGAATCGGTCACAAGATTCGCGGAGAAAACCGTTTTTACTTTTTAACTAAACTTGCGCGTGACTGTGATTTATGCGCCTCGACCGCGAAAAGTACCGCCTGGACGATTGGCCGCGAATGACTATTCAGGCGATACGTTTCGTTTGCGCGAAGATTCAAAGGTGTACGCGCGCGTTCCCTGACTTTCTCAAAGGGAACGGCGACATGCCCGGAACATGCTTCTGTCCGACACGTTGAGACGAAGATTGTCAAGGCGGGACCCGGACTCGTTCGAGAAACACTTGAGAAAATGACCGGATAATATCGAATATACGCCGGATATATGGATGACGGATCGCTTTCGGCGCACTGCCGCACAAAGTACACACATATGCCGGCGTGTATCCCAAGCGTTGCAAGACCGAGACGTACGTCTACTTATTTAAGGATAGACCCGCGGACGTTGGAGAGAAGATGCTTGTAAGACTTCCTTACTCATCCTACTACTATTACCGACTATTACCGCTAGTACTACCGCAACACCACAATTATTGCATCATTATTATTATGATTATTACCTTTATTATTCTTCTTATATGATTACTATTATGGTTATTTTCTTAAGTCTACCGTAACTGCTGTACGTGTACACTCGGCGGGTGTCGTGGGCGGATGTTAAAACGCGAGCGAACGAGTTGCATAAGAGAAAGAAAGAGTTGCACGATTTACGAAGATATGCCGTTAGGGTACTATACAGATTTATGGAAGGTGTTAGGGGAGAGTGTTTAATTACGTCTCTACTCGATGCGTAAGAAGCGTCGGAAATGAATGTACGCGTTCCGAAAGCAAATCGGGGGTGTCTCGAGAAAACGTCACGGTGAAGGCGTTCAAGAGCAATTTCGAAGGACCTAGCAGAAGTTTAATCGTGGAATCTAATAAACCCAAGGTCTTTCGATGCTCTCGGTACGCCGCCATACCGGGGTCACAGGGTCATTTGGCTTTTGACCGTTGATTAATTCATTAATTCACTCCCGCTTGGCGAATTTGACGGCTTCGAGCATCGTAGCCTCTCGAACCCTCGATAAATTCCAGAGAGAGACGACGGTGCTCGAAACGTTCTAAGCGAATAACTAATGTAAGAGTTTCGCCACGGTGAATGCCGGGCACGCGAACAAGGTAGCCCTTTCCGACCCGACTTACGCGTCGCGTCAATCGCTCGTGAGATGGTACTTCTTAAATTGTGTCTTGGGCAAATGGCGAGGGTGACTTTGGGTCCGCTTTCTTTTTTAACGAAGCCACCGAGATACGCATATCGTTCAACTATTCGGGTATTAGCCAACCCGAAGCCAGAGAGGCGCAGACTTTTCTCTGGGTCGCGCAGGACGACGGAGGGATTGCTCGTGCAGATACGGTCCGAGAGAGATCTCTAATTATTGCCACTGACAATACGCGACCTGTAGATATTGTTTTATTTCAAAGACTGAGAGACTCGTGCGTATTGTCTTTGCGTCAGGGCGACAAGTCGAGGGACGGGAAATGGATCGGAGGGGGAAAGAGAACGAGTCGACTGCGCGTTCCACCCGGCCTCGAGGTTGACGAGTCGGAAGGCAATGTTGTTCGAACGATAGTAAAACCGTACTCGGAATGATTGCACTCTTCCCGATGTGGGGAGACGCGGACTCCCGAGGACCCAAGTCCCGAATTGCGCCTGTAATTTTATCTATTTGTAGTTAGCGACATGACAACAGTAACTTATATATTTACCTGCTAAACTATAATAAAGTTATTAAAGGCATGGAAGCACTATGGTTAATTAGTAGATCGTGTATTTACGACTGGGAGAACCTAAGGGACTGTACGCGCGCGAGGACGAGGCGACACCTACCTTTAGGCTCGGATATGGAAGGACGAGTCCGCTGCTCTACCGAACGCATATTATAACTCGTGTAAATGTTATTTAAAACTCGATACTTACGATCGGCTGTCTATGTCAAACTGTTTTTATCTTGACGCGGGCAGAACTTGCGCGAAACCGGATACGCCCGACGCACCGATTCTAACCGATTATAATTATAACGACGAACGCTCTTTTAGGCGAATCTTGTAGCTCTCGCGAGACTCGGTCGAAACGGCTTTTGCCGCAATCGCGCGTACTTCTTTTACGAAGAAACTACCACACGATGCATTTTGCTTTTTATACGTCTCTACTGGTTGATGTTACGACACGTACAAAAATTGAACCCCAGTCCTGGCAAGGTACGCGAACGAAGCGCCGCGAAATCGCGAGGTCATGTTTTAGGAGTAATTAGGGTCTTGTATTCGTTGGTTGTTTAAGTGTATTAGGAGAGACTCGATACACGTTTGTTATAGTGAAAAAGTATTGCGACGCGTCGGCGACCGCTCGAGAATCCACGTCGAAGTTCGCCGCTCGGCGTGTGACAAGTAATTAATTATGAAAAATTATACGAGATGTCGCTGATTCCGATTCCGAGAGGCGCGAAGTAATCGGGCGTACTTTCAATTGGGACGCAATTTTTCAATGAATTAACCGATGCGTCGCACCTATCAAAAACGCGTTACGGGAAGAACGGGAACGGCGAGCCACGCGTGCATCCTAGGGAGCGAGCGTATTTTTTATTGGTAGTAACGTGCATGATTTTTCTTTTTAATCGCAATCGTGTGCATGTATACGATCTCTACGTTGAAACGTGAATTACCAGAAGGAATACGAGCGAAACTGGGATCGCGCACTGTGGCTCGTATGACCGTTTTTAGAGAATTTTGGCAAAGGGCGGTCGAAAGAAATTTCCGAAGAATATATCGTTCCTAAAATTATTCAAAGGGACGAACTGATTCTCATTTGGGGAACGGTAACTCCATAGGATAAATCGAACGTGAAAGAGCAACAAACGAAATGAAATGGTGGCTGCGAGCGCTGGAACGTATACATTTACAATTCCGCTACTGTACACGGGTCTTTTATGTTTGTATTAACAATTATTGCTACCGTGATTTCCGTGTTGAAAGATATATGCGTAAAATAGTAGAGAAAAGAAACATACCGTATATGCTATTCTTAAGAAGTAATGGTCGGAATAAGAATACCCAATAACGAAAATAAAAAAAATTCATTGCTATATGGTCTGCTAGTATAAACCGAACATCACTTCATTCTACTTCTCTTGAGAGGATCTTTAATTGAAATTGCCAGCGGAAATAAAAATATTCGCGAGTGAAAAAATGACCCACTTATTCGCGTTTGGTTAAATTTAATCACATTAATCAATTTCGACTAAGCGTTGTTAAATCCAAGGATGTTTTTTTTCTTTCACTACAATTGCATAACGGTAATAGATTTAATTTGCAGTTACTTCAATTTTGTGCTATGGAGCAAGAACCTTTGCAATATTTTTGTGTATTTTTATTTAATTTGTATATGTTGGACCATACTATTATTACATTATTTATATTTAATTGAACCAAGTGAAATTCAATTATTCGAGGAAAAAATCAAGCCAAATCAAGTATTTGAGAGAGCACTGCTATTCTACTCAGAGTATAATTCATGGTCTATGAAGAGGACTGAATCACTGAAGCTCGACACGAAAAGGGAGCGGGACGATCCATGAACGGAGCCCAAAGTCCTAAAGATGTAAAATCCAAGGCAAGGATTCCCTCTGCTACTCTCTGGAAATTCCGTGAGACATCAACCTTCAACAATAGTAACTATGTAATGACGCGTAATTGGAGGTTTTCGACAAGTAATTTATCGCAAACTCATAAAAAAAATAGATACTGATCGAGCAGCCATTTGCGAATTAATGCTTCTCTCGCACTCCGGCGCAAATCGGACCATCAATTCCGTAGGGCCTATCACGAGGAGGTTGCTGCTAAACGAAGCCCGTCTAGTAGCACTAAAACGTCTATCTAGACACCCATCCTGTCACCTCTGAGTCACGAGACTTCGACGTGACACGATGGGATTTTCTTAAACTTCCCACGGGAAAAAACGACCTTAAACTAACTTAAATACTTAATTTTACATTAAATCAACCTACACGAGAGACCACTTTCGCCGAAAGCAAGGGAAAGGTGCAAGATAAAACATTTCCAGAAGAGCCTATGATTACTTCTATGCAAAAGCAGTAGTTAATAGAGCAGCCGTCATACGGTCCAACGACTGCCCGCAACGTATGTACATACTCACGCAGATTCGCTGATTCGTGACGCCGACGCGTGCCCCAAAGCTCCGCATCACGTCGACTTCGGGGCAACAATGTACTTTAAAGTTTTTTTCATCTTTTTTCATCTTTCGCCGACTGATGCGATCCACATCGTTCATGACTCACGTGCTCGGTGTTCAACGATGTTATTGAAATTTTGTTAATTACCATTGTTTTACCGTGAGCCGGAATATTTCAGGACAAATGTTTTGCAGTAAAGTTACTAATGTACGGGACAAATACTTGAACCAGAGATTTTTAACTTCCGAGCTCATTTTCAAAATAATGATTATAATTAAAATTTTTGCAATGAATGAGATAACGGTAGCAACATGGGTAACTAAATAATAATACTAACGATAAGAATTATTGATACTGTTATCTTACTTTACGATTTTAATTATTTTCATATTAATTATTAAAATCACCTTAGGGACAGTGAAACAAATAATGAAAAGCTGAAACCATAATCAAATATTACATAATTGCAATGTATTTTGTGCGATTGCTATGA